CGTAGAAGAGTACGGACCCATTGTTTTCACACTGGCGTGAAATGACCTTTGATCGTCTTTAAATATTGCGCAAACTTGATTTGAAAACTTGGATTTTGACCCATTAAATCGTAAGATTTTGGTATTTGAAAACGTCTTATACAATAGCTTTAATATTCATTTTTTTAATTCGTTGGTAAAACTGATCGCCGTTAAAATGTTTTTGAGTAATCTTGTAAAATGTTTCAAATCTTAGGCGTTCTTGAGTCAGACATTGGTGGGGGCGTGATCGCCGGAACTTGATATAAGCTTTTGTTAACACTGAGGGCCTCTTCATATGAGCCCGGTAACCGGGCTGGCCCGGTTACCACGACGAATTTTGTCGTCTGTTCATATGGGAAATTTCAGCCCGGTTACCGGGATGAAAAAGAGTCGAAAAGGGCGTGAAACGTGGACTGAGGCCCTGGGAACGAGTTTGAGCGTGCGTAGTTGAAAAATTTTCATCCCGGTAACCGGGCTGGAGTGTTCATATGGGAAAATATTTCATCCCGGTTACTGAGATCTCGGTTTCTACAACCGAGATCTCGGTAACCGGGCTGGCCCGCCTTCTCATATGAACACATCGAAATTTTTACAAAGGAAATAGGAGTGAGGCGAGATCTCGGTAACCGGGCTAGCCCGGTCAACCGGGCTCATATGAAGAGGCCCTGAGTTTGATATGTTTCCCATTAACCGTAATTTCCGGCCGATTACCCGTAGGTAATCTGTTAATTTTTCCACAAACAGTTGTTGTTGCGGTTTATAGGAAGGTGCGGGTAATACGATAATTTTAAAGCTTCTATATAGTTTTAAAACTCTAGGCAGAAAAAAACAGAGATGACAGGATTCACTAAAGATGCTCTTCAAAAATCCTTTGTAATGACTCATTTATTTCGCGCAAATTGCTCATTATTATGATAGACTTTAATGCTCTCGATGAAAGTCGATGCAAATCGAAAACCTCGATAACAAAGCTTTCATCTTGTTTGTACTCTTACTTTCTTACCTTGTCAATTTCACAGCTTGTTCCTTTGTTAAGTTCAAAAAACCATTCTCTGTTACTCGGAAAGTGAACTTGAAAATAAAAGAATTTAATTGTGAAAAAGCTGGCTTCAGAGAAATTCACGCGGAAAATGATGCCGACATGTTCATTTCGTGGCGCCGCATAGTTAATGCCCGACAAAATATTCGACGCATCAGTGTAATTTTCTTAGCTAGTACTGCCTTGAGTTAAGGAGTATTTTCCCATTTCAAGCGATTTCTCCGACTCAGTAGACCTCGAGATATCGATTTTTTTTCGAGAACATATTTTTACAAGCGGTATTATTCTCAATGAAATAGCGGGGACACCAAATGATATCATGTCAACCACAGGCAGCCCAAGCTCCAGCTATGAGATGATCATCTTGCGCAATAATAATCGAAATACCTCACCTTACTTCCACGGCGTGTCGCTTGTTATCTGACCGCTAACTTTGATGAAAAGAACCCATTTTAGCGAGTTTAAAACCTACGCTACGTACAAAACCTCGAAATGGACAACTCGCTAAAATGGGTTCTTTTCATCCAAGTAAGCGATCAGATAACAAGCGATACGCTGCGGAAGTAAGGTGAGGTATCTTCATTGAGAATTTTACGTATTTTTTTATTCCTTAGAGCGGTCGTAAATATTCGCATACAAACTCTTATAATTCTGCTACGACTGTTATTGCGTAAGATGATCATCTCACAGCTGGAGCTTGGGCCACCAGTGTGTCAACAAAAAAAATTGAAGGAACTTTCTTTGAATCGACGATTTTCTTTTGTTTTTGGGTGCGGGTTATCTGCCGGTGGGGGTAATTTGTTGAAATTTTTTTCTCGTTATTGCAAAAATTGACCGATGCGAGTAATCTGCTGCGCGGGTAAATGGACGGAAATTACGGTATATTGTCTAAAGTCAACATACCTTAATGTGATTTATGAAAATACTTTCAATGGTTCTTCAATGTTTGATCCGTTTTAAATTGGTTATCACATTGATCACACTTTATTCTAACACCTTCCATAAAATCATTTATTTCACTTATGATGTTATGTGAAATTATTAGACACCGTATCATACAGTTATAACCAATCTTTTTGTATTTTTAAATAAATAATTGTTTATCAGATACCTTGTAATTACAATTGGGAGTCTAAAACTCCAGACAAGAGCCCTAATATGTAAGATGATTATCAGCAATTATGATATCTGGTTGACCGGCCATATAGCCTTTTTTTCCACGCGTTTAATTTTTTTGTATGAAGTATCTTGGTTTTCACCACATTGACTGAATTCGTTGGCTTGAGATCCAAAATGTATTCGTACATGAAAGAAAACCAAAAAGGAGGTAAAACAGCAAAAGGAATCACGAAGACTGTTATCAGAAAAAATATTTAACACAACGACTATATAAATACATTATTCAATAACGAACAGATATATCATAAAGTGAAAACTATTAGAAGCGTTAATCGTGAACTTGGTAGTTATGAAGTGATAGTTACTCGCTATCTTGCTTTTGATGACAAGCGTTATATGCATGAAGATGGCATGACATGTTACGCTTCTGGACACTACTAAACTTTTCGTAAATCACGAGCTGGAGGCGAGAGATTCACAAACCTTTCGAGTTTTAAAGTGGGTTAAGAGGCTGCGGAATGGGACATGAAGCCTTAGTTTGTGTACAGGTTCTTTAAAACCTTTTTACTTCCGTAAGTGACTTCCATTCGCTTCGAATTCCTCTCAAGAATATCACGGCTAAATCAAACATTACGAGATGGAAAGAAATGATCGCCTAATCTGTTGACCAAATTCTCCTCGTCAGTACCATAAGCAAAGAATAGAGAACAGTATGAAGAATATGCAAACTGATCTGAGGCTGCAAGAGGGGAAAGGCTAGCACAGGGTGATCTCTGTTTCTTTATCTCCTCTTACCTCAGTTTTCTTGGTTATCGCATCAGAAATTTGAGTCCTGATATAATTTCCCTTTTCATATCAATGCAGTGCATGTATAACCAAATATTCTTACTGTTTAGGAATGCTACGCGTCCTTAACCCTTTCACCCTAAAGCGTGATTGGCGTCTAATTTCTCCTTACAATATCACCCTTGAATCCTAAAAAGGTCATGAGAATAAAGAAAATGATCTCTTGCTAAAGAAGCTCTTGATTGCTCAACAACCTCTCCCTGTCAATACGTTTCCTTTCAATTAAAGGAAATGTTTGGAGAACAGAAAGGAGAATATGCATACTGATATTAGGGTGCAAAGGATTAATTATGAAGCGGTCAGTTCTATCAGGACATAGCGAATCTAACAAACCATTCGTAAGGCCACCTAACCCACGTGAGAAATTGGAGAAGCTTTTCAACTTTGTTGGAAGGCTGGCGCAGTAAACCATTTCAGAGGAATTTTTATGGAGATAATAAAAACAAATAAAATAACAATAAGAACAAAACTTTATTAAGACCATTCACGCAGTGGTCTCGTAAAACTGTGACAAACTGAAATTAGTTCATGTAATAAATACGATATATTACATTATAATTTCTCACTAATTCTATCGTAAATGTTTTCTTGTAGGCCTCAGTTAACTGTAGAAACCTCTACACTTTCATCAGACAAAATCCCCGAGAGCGACATACCTCTTCCATTTTCCCCACCGCGCCTTCTTACAATCTGTCCGCTCTCCTACTTTGTGAACTATCTTGGTATGCTACATTAAAAACTGGAGGTCTTTCATAGGATAGGAAGGCCTAAGTAAAACGAAACAAACCTGAAATTGAACAAAATCTGGACAGCCCACCACTCTCATGATCTGAGAAGTGATTCTACTAACTAATGCCTACCATATATTTGTTGCCTCTCTCTAACATAGAGTTTTATCAGCATAATTTACCTTCATTGATAATTTCATTTATTCCCATTATCAGTCTGTTTGACAGTGAATTAGAATTGTAAGAACTCAAATGCTGATCATGCCTGTAGCAAAATGTTTAAGCGAATAGATATTTCTGTGACATAATCAAAATAATCGCATTTCTACAGAATACCAAGTTACTCTGTCCAGAAATGTTCTTTTTAAGTCATTCAAATCTCAGAGAAGTAACATTGTATTCTGCAAAAAAGACAGAACTTGTTAATTATCTGTTTATATATTTATTGACTGAATAAATATTTGAATTTGATATAAGCTTTCTATAGCTATCGTAGCTTTTGGAACAACCGCCAATACTTTGTAAAAGGCCAAAAGATCTGCGAGATCTTTGAACAGAAAACAAACACTTCTTAGACAACTGTGGACGTTTTTGAAATCTCTAATGTCGTCGGAAGTGCGATTGTCGCGGTTGTCTCTTTGAAAATTACAAATTTGCTGTCACTCATTCAAAGTATTCTTTTTCTTTCTTAGACAGAGCAAATTTTTGCTGGGTCAAAGCCAGTGCAGCTCTGAGTGGACCTACACACACTATTATTGCTTGATTTCCCAAACATTTCGTGTACAATTATTTTATTTTATTGGTTATTTTCATTATGAATTCACGTATCTGTTGGAGGGTTGCCTTCCTCGAAGGCCAACTTTTCCTCCTTTATAAGACACATCGTCCGAAGAAGGAATGAATTTCTGCCTTTCGTCTGCGCCTGGCGAGTTCTGGTCGCTGTAGTAGCCATCTTCTTGCATAGAAAGCGGCGAATTTCTCTGTTCGTATTCAGGTGGATACTCGAAAACTCCAGAGTTTCTCTCGCAAACGTCCTTATCCTCATCTTCAGAATGAAGCTGTTCCTTCTGGCTTATGAAGTCGTCATCATTTACCTGGCTCACACTTTCTTTGGGCTTCTCTTTCTCGAGAGTGTCTTTACGAGCTTTTTCCAACTCGCTGTCCTTGCGTCGGGCAACTCTCTCCTTTGGTGGGTCCTGGAGAATAAATTTCTGCTTTTCTTCATCCTTGGGGTTTTCTGGCTCAAAGATTTCCAGCTCAATGTCTTCTGTAGGGAGGGGTGGCAGTGGGGCGTGTTTTTCTTGTTCTGAATTGGGGCTGCCTGGAGGTCTTATGAGGCTTTCACCTGGATCCAGATATTCATCGTCAAATGTTGGCTCGTTTAAGTCTGGGTCATCTTCTGCATTCTCAAGATCAAGGTAACCTTCGCCAGTCTGAGAGAGAGGTAAAGGGAATCCGTAAGAAAGAGAGTGGATGGAAGAACTCTGGATAAATTACGACGCAAAATTACCGCAAAGATGGCTTGAAATTGGGGTCAAAAGTAAGCAACCAGGCACAGATAATTCCCTAAATAGCTGGAAAGGATTGAGGTCTTATTTTGTCTCTTATTTTGAGTCATGGAACTTGAAATCGCTTTTGAGGTCAAATTTTCAATAAAGCATACCTCTGAAGATCTCTCTTCCAACCGTTTATCAAGCTCAGCAGTAAGGTCCGTGAATGAAGGTCTGTCATCCGGGCTATGCAACCAACAATGGCACATTACTTCGTACCTGTGCAATATATGAATAATTGGATACAAATGTAAATATGACCAACTTCAGGAATAGATGGATAGATTGAATATATGGATGTATGAATGAGTGATGAAAAGTTAGAAATGTTTGGCGAAAAATAAGAATGTGCTCGAAAAAGCCTCATCAAAACTCTTTTCACTGATCAATGAAATACTTGCATTTCATTTGGGCAATCCAATGGCTTCTCCATGCGATTTCCTTCCATCAAATACTGATAAACTTCGTTGGCCGGGAGACCTGGGTACGGACATCCACCTTAATGATAAAGAAGTACCCTTAGACGACAATTTTTTCAATAAGAATTAAATGTAGGCACCGTATCTTTGACATGACATCGCCATCATTAAAACTGAAAAACTTACCAAGTGTAAACAGCTCCCACAACAAAACCCCAAAAGACCATCTACGAGAGAAAGAAATGCGAGACACGTTACCAAAGTTTACAGGGACAAGTAACTTTTAACTTTCACGATTATCTGTGTAACTTACACATCACTCTTGTGCGTGTAGACGCGGTCAACCAAGGCTTCGATGGCCATCCATTTCACTGGGAGCAAGCCCTATGGACGAACATAAAAACGAATGGTTATTTTAAATCAGAAGGAAAAGCGATGTTTTCATTGAGAGCGAGATTGAAAACCCAATAACGAAGGAGTGAGCGAATTGAAAAGATGAAAAAAGGAAAAAACCCCAAAAAAAAAACAGGGATAAGCTAATAATGAAAACAGCAACAACGAAAACAACAACACAAATCCAGTTTCCTTAAGAGAAAATACGATAGCTTTGATCCATTTTGCATAAGGAGCCGTAGGACTTTAAAATATCAAATATCAAAAACAGCGGTGAGATTCTTACCGAGGTAGTCTTGACGTAATTCTCTTCTTTATAGATGTCCCTCGCCAATCCAAAGTCAGCCACTTTTAAAACATAGTCCTCACCCACTAACACATTTCGAGCAGCAAGATCACGATGAACACACTGAAAAAAGGAATCAAAATTGAAACGTTAGTATTTAAATCTTTGAATGAAAAAGGTGAAGATGATTTCCAATTTTACGGGTGATTAGCCTCAATCGGGTTCTCCTTCAATGAAAGAACCAAAAAAACAAACAGGACGCGCGAATAACAAGGGATGTTGAGCAGATACCACAACTGTCAACCGCTTTCACTTTCGTCTCCGCTGACAGAGATCAGGCAACTACTCTTTCTTTCACGTTGATTGTGATAAAATTCCTTTACGGGAACAAAAAACCTTCTAGAATTTGTCCCTCTCTCAATATTTGTATCACATAGCTCAGTGGTAATGCACCCAATTACAATTTATCGGCGTTCGAATCCCGCCGAAAGTTGAATATTTTTTAGCGTCTTTTCTGCAATTCACTTAACCCTTTAACTCACAGGAGTGACCAGGACAGAATTTCTCCTTACAATATCAATACAATATCAACCAGATGAGTGATGAGAATAAAGAAAAATATCAATTTGAGGATAATTGGGTTGATCCAATACTAAATTCTCTGAACTAACATTTTAAGAATTGTATGGTCAAAAGTAAGGAGAATTACAAATTTGATCTGGGAGTTATAGGGTTAAGTGCAGCTTAAGTGCAGCAGAAGACCAATCTTCACTCGTGTTTCATCCGCAGGTCAAAACAATATTTATATCAAGTTATTTTTTTAATTGCTTCGTAGATTTAGGTATACCACACTCACTCTTCTTGTGGTAAGGAATTCCATTGCACGAGCGACTTGCAACGAACAGATGTAAAGATCAATCGTTGTGAATGTAACGTCAGCGTGTTCGGTAGGCGTACTCCATTTGGCTTCGAATATGTCTCGGCGTTTCCGCAAGAAATCCAGTAAGTTACCATGCGGACAATACTCTATTATGACCCAAAGATCTCTCTCGCGACCTAGGGAGAAGAATGTTGTTACTATTTGCTCTGTTTTAGAATAAAAGTAGATGCTAAGGTCGATAGGTGAGAATATTAACTAAAGGGAAAAATGTCGCGTATCAGTAAAGCGTTACTCTGGTAAAACGTTTTCTGGCCGTAAATAAGTGACGATGTGGAACGCAATTAAGAAGGATCTTTTGAAAAAGTATTTCTTAATTGCGTTACATAAAAAGTCTGGAAAATGTTAGGAATTTTTTTGGACTGAAATATCAACGTTCTTTGAGTTGGTTTTCCAGTCCGCTTTCGCATAATATGAAAGCAACTTTTACATTAAAAGCAAAAATTTGATTACAATTCAGCTTATCCTCTAATAGAATCAGAAGAAGAAAAGAAAATTACCATTAGCGATGAAAATGTTACTAAGTGTTGTACGAAAGGGTGAAGCTAAACAACAAAAGTTGAATGAAGTTAAACCTAGCTTAAACGAACCTTTGGTGCATGCGCCAAGCAAGTTGACAATGTTTTTATGCTCGCCTATATGGATCAGAATCTTCAGTTCAGATGCCAAATCCCTATATTCAGCTTCCGTCGCAGAATCTGCAGAGACAATTGACAGGTTAGTGGAAAAATATTCTTGAAGAAAAGCATTTTTAATTAACAACAATAGTGAAGAACGAATACGAACTGTAAACCAGGGGCGGGTATGATTTTACAGCAGAGGGGGGGATACTGCACATTCGCGTCTGGCTGGGTTTTTATTGACTTACAGGGGTAGTCCTTCCCCTTAACACTGACTTCTTATGAGAAGCCGCTCGGTGTTCCTTTGTAAATACAGAATGATGAAGTTACCTTTAAGACTTTTCACTGCGACTGCTGTTACTCGTTTGTCATTCACATAAGGCCGACTCGTGGATCCAAATCTTGACCGTCTGCGTCCAGACTTCCGCTTGGTGCTACCGCGCGGGTCAAACGCCACGATACCAACCGCATGCGCAAGGAACACTTGACCAAACGCACCAGATCCAAGGGGCTTCACTGTGAGAGAAAATGTAAGTAGCAAGTCAATTGTTGTGATTGTGTGTAAATGTCATGTTATATTGATATTTTTTTTCGGTTTAAACTTGTCTCGCAACTGTTTGGGGACACAATTGGATGAAACTTTTCACAATGTGAAGCCAAAGAAATGAGCATTGCTAGCAAAGTTCTTGTGACAGGATTGCACAATCGAAATCAAGTCACATTTTTAGCGACGATTTTGGTAACGTTGCTATAATTGTTTTAACCTGCTGCTCCGTGAATTGTACTAGGAGCTACTCGACGAAGGGTCTCGCAAAACTTTGCCAAATGCTTTGTTGGGAACATAGAAACTGCTGTTCTGCTCTCGGCAAGTGGCTAGATCTTTTGTGCATTTATGCTTACTTTAAACCTAGCGACAAGGCACTACGTTGCGTGTTAACCGAGATAGGATATCAACGATGGCTTATCGTTTAAGAGTTCATGCCTCTGAGAGGTGAAAAGTAATCTTCGCCAAACTCACAAATGAAAATTCAAACACGAAAGAGGAGAGCAGTTAAATATTCGTTGATCACGTTCTTACGACTGTTATTAATGCTAACTCTAATAAAAATTCGTGCTACGAGTAAACGAAACGGGGATACACACTCTGTACTTACAAATTTCAAGGCGTTCCCTGGGAAATTCCCATTGAGCGTCGTATGGCAGTTTGCTTGTTTGTTCCAACAAGGATCTCTCTGGATCTAACTTCATAATATAATCAGGAGCAGGCGGAAGCGTGAAGATGTAAAATCCGCCGTATCGCTTCTTTCGCCGATAAAGAACCACAATGATAAATAGAAGGAGCAAGATCACGAAACTGCTGACAGCGATAACAACGATCAAGGCAACTTTGGAGAACTCGCTTTCTTCCTTAAGGCGTTTGAAAGCTCCGACTTTGGGTTCTTGTGAAGAAAAGAGAAAAAGATAGTGAAACTCACGAGGCCGATCCACTGGGGAGTTCTGGAGGGCCACTCCCTCCCCCCAGGGAAAGTCCGGAAGGCTACCCCCTTCCCCCGTATCATGCCAATGAGATTTTGGATCAGTTTTAGTATATGAGCATTTGCGCACCTACCCCTCCCCTAACCCGACATTTCCCTAACGCGCTATCAGTAGAATTTTATTAGGTTAGGGGAGGGTAGGTGCGCAGTTGCTGGGATGAACCGAATTATTTTACTACTTGCTGACACCAAAATTCTTGCAACAACAGGATTGCATGCTACTACTTGGGGTCTTTAAAATTTACTCATCTTTAAGTGTTCTTTACCTTATTTAGGCTCTGGCTAAAAAGAAAAAGAAAAGTGATTTTCTGTGTTATTTATACTAAAGTATGGACCATAAATTACTGGGTCCGTCCTTGAAACCTTGTTCAGTCGACATACAGCCTCTGGTGAAAATTTGTGTTCACTTAAACGCGGCACAAACTGATCTTAATGAGATAGTACTGAATTTAAAACAACTTACTAGAGGACAAATAATAAGTCTGATTTCTCCTTCCTTGAGAATTGGTTGCCACACATAGATATGATGCTTCGTCACTCCCAACCGACACCTCAATGATATACACCGTCTGGTTGGCGAATCTTCTCGTAGCATCAGGTAGCGGCACAATTTGACCTTCGCTGTTGATTCTCTGCCACGTCACGGTAGGAGGTGGGTTTCCAGTCACAGCACATTGCAGCTGGACATTTTCCTCAAATTGTGAGATCTCTGTCACGGATACAGTTGGCTCCTCTGCATGGACATCAAAATAAAAACATCCGGCTTCAAGTCGCAAGTCTAAACTAAGCTGTCCTCAACCGTCTACTTGAGCCCCTCCCCCTTAGTTAGACTAACATCTAACTTCTCCTTACAAAATCAGCACTGAATCAACAAATGAAGGTCACGAGAATAAAGGAAATGATCAGCAAATTTAGACACTTCTGATTGTTGAACAAATTCTCCTTGTCAGCACCATAGGAAATGTCAGAAGAACAGTAAGGAAAATATACCCAAAATATCTTAATGTATTAAGGCTAAAGAAAATTTTAACGTACCAATCAATCGATAATTCCTTTCCTTTCCCATGATAGGAAAACAAGGCAGAATTTAGACTGTTTTGGGAGGTTTGGATACTAAACTTTAAATGAACTCTTTAATTGTCTATGATCATGAATCATGAGCTAGAAAACCAGGGGTTGCAGTGGGTCAAACTTTTTCCATTGGTGGCTGCCAATGGTGTTAAAGGCGGCTGTACCGCAAGGAGTAACCTAAACACGAAAGCCTGCTCCTAAGCTGAAAAGACGGCGGTGTACCGCCTTTTAGCGAAACCCCTGAAAGCCTGTCATTCACTCATGCAATTGCAATAGGTCGTGTCATGTTTTTCAACACCTTCTGGGTCGAAGTCTTGCATGAATACAGAAATGTGACGAATTTTAGCTCTTTATTTACCCAAGATATTCAAGAACGTATCAGCAGATCCAGGACCTCTGGCGTTCTCCACCGCGCACTGATAAACGCCTGTGTGATAAGAGTCGCTGACAGAGCAGATAAATATTCGCCAAACCCCGGGAATCGTTCCTCCACTCATTTCGTAGACACCCCTCTGCAGTTGACCGCAGTCGTCACTATTGGTTTTCTGAATTTTTATTATTTCTCCGTTTCGTCTCCAAGTGACAGATGCCGGCAGAGGATTTGCAGTGACATTGCAGAATAATTCAACGCCTTGGCCTCCGAGTCTGGTTACATTAGGAGTGATGGAAACACTCGGCTTTGTCAGCTCTGCAAGAAAATTCCAAACGAAAGGAAATGTGAGAACTCCGCCGGTGCAAAGTTATCCTGTGCTGGGTTCTCGATCAGTTGATAATTGCATCTGAAAGTCGGAACGTTGTGATTCTTTTATCTCCATTTTCACCATATATTTTGATAATGTTATATAAATTTTATGATATAAAAAGGGAGATGGAAGAGACTACCAAAAGCTAGGAAGAGGGAGGGGGGAGGGGGGAGGGGAGAAGATAGGAGTCACGATGAAACACGAAAGTAGCGTCAAACTATGCACACCTCTAAAGCTCTCAAATTTAATCTCTGACGTATCGTAACGCAACGTAGCATATTTCGAAGAGAGGAACTCTAACGTAACGTTTCACTCACCCCGCAACACCACTTCAATAGACTTTTTTGCGTTGAATCCATCACTAATCTTCTCGGCTGAACAGATGTAAAGACCAGCATCGTCGAGCGACGCATTAGTTATACGAAGCTCACTTATTTCTTTATTCTTCCTGACTGATCTACTTCTGAGGGTTTGTCCTCCTTTAAACCAGGATGGGAATTCTTTGAAGACACCAATATTGGCCTCACATGTTAATGTAATGTTATCACCAACATTGGCTGTCACGAGAGGATTGGGCTTGACATACAAATTTTCGAGGTGGAGTGGCACTTCTGAAATACAGAAAAGACAATACTTGAAAATCGAATTTCACATGGTATCTACTCGAAGAGGGTGGATTGCACTCTGATTGGGCTCCACGAGCGAAGGAGTACTCTCCAGGACCTGGAGTTTGTTTTGGGAGTTTGGCTTGAAAAAGGCTAATTCGGCTGTAACAAATCAAAGAGTTTCCTAATTCCACAGAGGTTTCTTAGGTACGAAAGGTCTTAAATTTTCCATCAAATGAACACTGTAGTATTGACTGACCTCTTCGAATAAACGCGTACACCTTCGAGTCTTTCTTTCCACGGTCGGCGGGGTTTGTTGCGGTACACTTGAAAAACTTTCTATCGATGTAGCTTGGTACTATAAGAACGCTGGTATTAAGAGACCGTTGTTCTACCTTTCCAACAAAACTACTCGAGATTCTTATCCATTTTCCCGATGGTTGGCAATCAGAAGCTTCTTTGCATCCGATTTTGAAATTCTGATATTTCCACGAGAAATTAGCTGCAGGATTACTGCGTTCGGTTGTGCACTTCAACTCCTCTTTTCTGTTTTTGAAGACAGCAGGCTTTTCGAATCCGCTCTTAGTTTCTTTGATTAACTTCGGATGAACTAGAGATTGAAATATGGAACAATAACCGTCCGTTAAAACAAGTTTCAAGGAGGAGTTTTCAAAGGATGCTGTAAGTATAGGGTGTACATGGCCCCGCTCAGTCAAGAGAATTTGTTAACTCACCACTATGACTAAGTGAATCAAGCGTGCCTTCAAATGCTATAGGGCGTTCGAGCAGGACCCCTTGCTAAAAAACCAACACTTACAATATTCATCAGTATGCATATTGTCCATGGGGTTCCCCGAACATTTCCTAAGGATATGACATGGAGAATTGGAGAAGAAATGAAACGCCTGTCACTCTCAGCATGGCTGTTACTCCGATGTTTGCAGTTCGCATTGGAATTTGAAGTGGTGCATTTTGCAGGGAGGAGAGGGGGGGCACAACCCAGACAAAAACTCTCAGAGCAATGAAAGAGAACCAACAACAAACTCAACCACATGTGACATCAGTTCCGGAAATCGAACTCAGATCACAGCCAGTGCTTACAACGCTGCGCTATCCCTGGTCCCCGCGCCCCTGCTACAAGGTTCCACTGGGTAAGGACCACAACACATTGAGCGACAGTTCTATGTGGCAAACCTGACAAACCGTTTCGTGCGCGACTCACGTCACCGCTTCCATCATGGCACAAATTCAAATCAGATGAAATTTGTGCAACAAAAGCTTTGTCGCAGGGAGGAGGATTTTCACAAAGAAGACCATGCAACAAGAGGTGAATCATAGCAGAGGCTTAAAATAAGTTCAGTGATTTTTCCCTCAGTGCGTACTGCCTTAAGCCATCGATCTTTCGATCCCCCTGACATGAACCTGAATAATTCGTTAAGCTTACCTATAAGTTGAAGCCGTGCATGCCGTTTTACTGGTTCATCCAAGTCATTGTTAACTACACAAGTGTAGTTATCATCATCTTCCGGAAACCGGGTGTCCACGACATTTAACTTACTTAGCCATCTACCGCTTGTTTGGGAACTCCATAGTTGGCTTAAACACCTTCTCTCATCCACCCACTTTGCTCTGAACTTAGTTCCATCGATGGAGGAACAATTGCCAGTTTTTCCTTCGCATGTGGCGACTATTCTGTTTCCCCTCTGCCACTGTACTGTTGGAGGGGGGGAACCACTTACAGTGCAGCGGAAAGTGACACTAGAACGCTCTTCTACAGACCGGTGTTGTGGTGGACCGGCTATCCATGCTGGTGAGGGAACTATGTAGCGAAAAAGATATCAAAGGAGTAAGCGATGCTATGATAATGAAATCACCTCGATATAAAGCTATATCTGTATGACTATGTGCATGACTATGTGGAGTAAAAGATTATCAAAGGAGTAGGCGATGCTATGATGATGAAATCACCTAGATATAAAGCTGGCAAGACATTTAATTGAAAATCTCTTGGCGACTATTTTAATACGTTTGAATGCATGAGGAGTTCACCACAGTTTATATGTTAATTTTGAAATCTGTATGACATCTTTCTCAATGCTGTGATACGCTTCGCTTTTACCACGCTGTCGTTAAATCTTATGCAGCTATTCGAATTCCACTTTTCTAGCGCTTTAAGTAGAAAAATCCCAGCTCTTGCTTTAAGCCTATGTGATTCTAACCCATTGCATTTACAGAGCACGAGAGGGCGCTTTTCGACAGAGAGTCGTAAAACTAAATCCAAAGATATCACAGCGACCAAAGTAAAACTAAGTAAACTACCCAAAACGCGGGAAAACGCGAGTAACCAAGTCACGAAATTTACAGCTGATTGAAGGAGATGGTGGCGCGAGTTTTTTCTCGGACTAATCACAGAATGAAGTGAAGCAAAACCAAAGCACTCTCGGATTATTTTCGACACACAGTTTTGAAATATTGCTCTATCGATACGATCACACAATGACCAGCAGCTTATCTTATCCCATAGTCTTTTTATATTCCACGAAAGAGCGACAGAACCTGACCACTAGGTTAATTTACCTGCCACATCGATGATGATACTAATGTTGGCGGTAGCATTGTGTCCATTGCTTTTCCAGCAGAGATACTCCCCTCTGTCGCTTCGCTTCACATTTTTCAGTTCCAAAGTAACGTTTGTCTCCCACTGACCCGTTTTCAAGGGACGTGACGCTTGACGGATCACCATAGATGTATCTGTTATTTCCTGAGGAACTGTCGATCCTGGATTTATCTTAAACCACTTTACACCACCGTGATGATACCCACGGCAGACTACTGTGACGCTCTCATTTACCTCCAAAGGACCACGAATACAGTGAGGTATGGTTTGAACGTTAACATGTACCTGAAAGTCTGCAAAGAAAATATGAGAAAAAAAATCCATGAGAGTGCAATTACGGTCTGACATTATTCCTTGAATTTTATAATGTAGTTAGAGGAAGGCATGCGCAGTCAGTTCCCCTTGTAAACCTTAAGGGAAAGGAGGAGGATGGGGCAGGGAACAATCACAGACTGTGGGAGGGGTGGTTAGGTCATTGAAAAACGTTAGCTTCTTAACCTTGTTGATCTCTGTCCACCTTCAAAGCTTGGGGGAATATTCTACAAATGAGTTTGGATCCGTTTCTATAGGTACCAAACATTGAAATTGCGTTAGATCCCCCATAATAGTTGAATTTAGTACAAAGTAAAAGGCTTACAAATATTTAAGAGTGAAAATTTTCGGGACGAAGAAGAAGTCTAAACTTTTCCTTAAGCGGGGCGGGGGAGGGATGGGATTGAGGGGTGGCGGGGACCGAAAGGGATCGTACATTTTGTGTGTGCGAGGGTCAAGAATGCTCCTATCAAATAAATCCACATTTTTAAATTTGTCTGCAGTACATCCAGTCCTACCCAAAATTATCATCAAGGCAAGTCACCACAATATTTCACTTCGCATAAAACGTTGCTTGTTAAATGACACAAGAACCAATATCAATACATTAGCCGTGGTTACACACACCTTGGGTTTGGGGCCTTACGGAGGGTAAATGACTTGGGTTTGGTTAAACTCAGGTTTCATGTTACTCATGGGGATGCGGTTACACAGTAAAAGACTCCCTTCAGGGTCAGATATAATTAGATATGAGTTCACTGACCTGAAAAATTGGCAGGAAAAGTACAGAGCAACATGGATGTTACGAATCGAGAACTATTAAGCTAAATTTCAGTGATTCTCCTGCCTTTTATACGACAGTCCTCCATAAATATAACAGTCCAGCAGTTTTTTGCGAGAAGACACCGAAGAAGGCGCGAAATTAGCCAAGCGCATCGGAGGTCACTTCAAAACACTGCAGGCGATTTCCTGTATATGCTACATTCTGCTTTATGATTGGTCAAGCAACCTCAGGAAGCAGATAAACCGAACTTTTCAGTTCAGGAACTGTCTTGGGAAGTTCTTTTGTTCTTTTTGACGTATCCATGGAAATAACCCTGGGGCAGTTTGGGTCTGGGGAAAGGTTACACACAAAAACGTCCATGCCCGTGGGCAAACACTATTTACCCATGGGTAAAAAGGCCAGTGTAACCAAGACTATTGTATATGCTAAACATCATTCCTACCTATTGCCTTTCTAAGTTTCACTTCCTTTGGCTCAGGAACAACTTGTCCATTCTTCCCTACAACCTCGCATTTGAATATCATCTCTTTACCAGTAAAGAGTATTGAGAAATTCTGGCCATCTTGTGTAATAGTTTTGTCTGACTGTGGAATCTCTTGAAAGTCCCCATCCTCTGAATATTTTCTGCTTAGCTTAACCTGTGTATTTCGATCATTGAGTTGGCAGTCCAATTGAAATACTGTTCCTGAGATGACAGACTGAAAGTGCCCAGAGCCAGGAACAACCCATGCTGCAAAAAGATCAGTAATTTATTGAACCATAATGACATTTTCAACTTTCACCAGCAGATTAACATGTGGTTAACATTACTCACTCATTCAATATTGCCTTAACTAAGCCAACATTAAATCTGGGAAACATAACTTGATTTTGAAGTTAAGTGTACTGAAAAAACTAAATATTATATCATTGGCATTTGAATGGTGATGAATCTTTTCATCCTGCCTTATATTCCTATGTGAGAGGGTTGGCAAAAAATTATCTTTTACTGTGTCTGCACCTTCCTTCATTCCTCCTAAAAAATTAAATCTCCACAACAAATTGTAAGATTAAAACATTCTCAAATTAATTATATATTTACCAATATATAAAGCACCAATTTATTTGAAGCTCCAACATTGCCCCCTCTCCCCCCTTTTTTCAGGGCAACCCACAGGCATTTGACCATCATATATGCCTGGGGGTGTAGAATTTGAATAAGGAGGGGGGAGAGTAAGATGTTGATGCTTGGAAATGACTGATGCATAATGAGCTTGAGGTATCTACTACATTGAAAACCTGAGAACAAGACAGGCCAAAATTTTCATTTTATTTTGTTCAAAGTTGCTCACTGTCCACTATTCACTATTTATCAAGAAATAAATAGAGATTGAGTAGCACAGCCACACCGACTGCTGCATTTGTGATCAAACACTAGTACACATATAATGATAACTGCATCCATAGGCACTTACATAAAGTCTAGGAACATCTAATGACAAATAACTACAGCAATTGTACAGCTTACACAGATTTGAAGTGCAGCGCTTTTCTTCCAGGTTCCATATCATCCATTGTGGACATAATTCCTTGACAGGGATTCCTTGTTTGCATACAAAGTAGCCACTTGGATCAGTGGGATCACCAAACTTTTCATTGGGCACAAGACATTCTGGATGTAAGAGAAATATAAACTAAGCACTCAGTTAAAAATTGGCAGGATCTATACTGAAGGCCTTACCAAGGTCATTAAAAGTGTTCAAAGCAATTTTTTTTTAGTAAAACATCATTGGTACTTTCAACTTTGAAAATGTAAATTGGCCACTGTAAAGAGTTGGGAGGCTGACGTTTCAAGTGTTAGCCCTTTGTCAGAGTGATTGGAGGAATTGTGGGTTGTGATTATATGCAGAAATGGAGCTACACTATTGGTGGGAATATGGTGACGAGAAAACAAGAATAAATTAGTTGAATGAAAAGTGCTCATTGATACTGTGGGGATTGAGAGTGCCTATTTAGAAAATAAATTATTGTTCTGGTGTTTTGTGGCTCTCTGAACTGTCTAGATGTAGGGAAAGGCAGCAAACTGCCACATGCTGTTTAGACAATTATGGAGATTAAAGTGACTAGTGACTGGTTTGGATGCATCCTTGTCATTTCTTTCCACATTGTGAAGGTATTCTCAGAATCGGTTACCTAGTTGTCTTCCTGTTTCACCAATTTATAACTTTTTGCAATAACAGTTTCTTTAGGAACTTACCCACTTTATTCATTTATAATATAAGCAGTCTGTTACCCACCTTTGCAAAATAAATAGTGATAGGACTGATTACAAACAAACCCAGACCCCTCAACTACAATATGTTCAACACCCATGATATGCCCAACATCCATGGTACCAGATGTTTTTTTCCGGGAAGCTATGATCAACATCTGAACCTGAACACAGTTGGTGAAGCTGGTCAGGACCTCAGAGAAAGTAAATAATTATAAGAGCACTTTTAACAGTACCTTTAACAAATAACTCCCTTGTAATGTTGCTGGAATATCCTGGCTGTTGAGAAGTTGTAACTACACAAGTGTAATTTGCTGCATCTACCCATGAAACTGTCTTCAGCATCAGAATATTTTCATTTAAGGGAAGGCCTCTTAGTGTTTTCCTTGATTGTAACTGTGTCTGGTGATTCGGAACTTTTTCCCCATTTTTCAACCACGTGATGGAGACTCCATTACCAGGAACCTGACAGGAGAAATTAAAATTCTGATCTCGAAGGACACTGGAAGTGAATGGGTACACTTGAGGCCAAGGACTTCTTTGATCACCTATCAAAGTAATGAAAATAAATATGATATATTTTCTGTCTGATAATTTCATGGTGGAAACATACATGTAATATGACATCCTGAAAATCTGGAGGACTTTGAAAGGAAGTAATGCTTGTCTAGGTATCTGAGTACTGTGATAAATTTTAAATAATTTTCAGAGATTTTGATGAATTCTACCACCATTTTGGTTAAAGGAAATCACATAAACTAAGGGACTTTGATGAAAGAGGGTCAGTAAGAGGTTAACCCCATACAACCTAACATCAGTATGCACTATCTCCATAATATTCTTCATACTTTTCCTATGGTACTGACAAAGAGAGTCTGTTGAACAATCAAAAGCTTTACTTAGGATCATTTCCTTTATTCTCTCATTATTCTCACAACTTTTAATGTTTGATTCAGTGGAGCTACCATTGTAAGGATAAATTAGATGCTTGTCACTCTTAATAATATATGGTTAAAATGGAGATCTTTTGCCACACCCTTCATTGTGGTAAAGACCCCCCTGAAATGTCAAATAACAAGATTATTTCATCACCTGTAAAGACAAGCAGGCTAGTAATTTCCTCTTTAATAGTCTTGTTTATACTTGGCAAGGTAGCCTTGCATATGTACAGACCAGCATCATCCAGTGACACACTTTTAAAATAAAATCTGTTTTTCCTTCGTGTTACAGATTTGTTATTTGGAAGAATTTCCTCTACTGGATTTGCATCATCTTTCTTCTTCCATAACCTAGAGGAAGATGCTGTCTGGTCATTGGTTCTGCAGTTGATTGTCAGAGGGTCTCCGACAAATAATTTCTGATACTGTCTCTTCTTTGCCATGAAGTTAAACTCTGAAATACAATCACTAAATTTATTAAATGATTCTCCTTAGCCCAGAAACATTTTCACAGTCAGTGACGAAGACAATAATTACATTGTTCATGTGACAACTAGGTGCTATTCAACACAGCACTTAAGTTGTGCCAGTCCCTTGAGTGTTTGATCTTGTGTCTTACTTGTGTTTTGGCTTTTGAAGAGATTTAGAAATATCACAGGCATGTTTGAAAATAAGAAACCCCAAGTTATCCTTGACAATGTTGAACCCAAGACTCTGCAATCAATACCTTGGAGTCTCCTCACCAGTAGGGGAGCTTTAAATACCCCACAATTCACAAAATCCAATTCAATTCTGTCCAATTGACCTGATTCTTAATGGGAGTAAAACAGTTTGTAACTTATCTGTACATAGTACTAAACTTCCCCATAGACTATATAGTTTATTTTGCTACATGTACACAACATGACTTCTCTACCTGTAACTGAGAGCAATCCTGATTTGGCTTTATATGCCTTATACCAGTTTGATCCATATGCAAATGTTGTGCGGCATTCAAACAGGCCGGCTTGAGAAGATGTAACCGGAGATAGTTGAAGAGTGCTTATATACATATCATTAAAGTTCTGCAATGTACTGGAAACTCTCTTTTTGTTTTTATACCATTCCACAATTTTTATGCCTTTTCCAGTTACATTGCAGGTGAAAGTGACATTTCCTCCTTCTTTTGCTGTAGTATTTGTTGGAAGTATTGAAAATGAAGAGATGTATTTTCCTGTGAAAGAATCAAATCAAAGATTACTATGATTAACATTTCTTTTGAGGGGTTTTCCAATTGTTGCAGCCATTGTCGTCTTGTCCTTGGAAACAATGTGCGTGATAGTGGATCCCATTTACTGTGCAATAATTTTTTATTTATCATGCAATATTTTTGATTTTATCATGCGATAAATCTCATTTACTACATGATAAATTAAACTTAAAAAGTGGATAGTCTGTCCTCTATGGGCCACTGTACCAGACACAGTTCAGAGCAGATTATGCTTCAATCATATGAAGTGCTTAAACTAAACTTTTACGCATGTATTTATATTACAATTAAGCTAGAGTCAAACTCTGAAATGGTTTAAACAGTCAGTCAAAAAATTAATTATTTGAATAAGGAATTTTACATGTACCTCAATTGCCACCTTTTACAAAGTAAATATACAATGTAGATGTGGATAGCAGGATATTTAAATGTATACCAGTATTAATAATATTAACCTGGTTGTTTCTTCGCCACCAAAACTTTTTCTATCCTCATAGAAGTTGGTCCAACTTTGCAGGAATATTTTCCTTCATCATTCTTTTCAACATTGTTAATGGTAAATATTTGTCCACTCTGTGTAACTTTGATTCCATCTGCAATCCTGTCAAAATCCTTTTTTTCTTTTGTTTGTTTTAGAGAAACACTAACATAAGGATCATTCATTTGACAATCTAGATCAACAGAGTATCCAATCACAGCAACCATAGAGCTCAGTTTGCGAGGATTTGCTAGGGAGTACTGGAATCCCCCTGAAAAAATAACAATCAACAATCAACTAAAAACAATCAACTATGTAAAAATAACTAGCAGTTTCTTATGGAAAGTGAAGTGCTGCAAGGTTAACTCGTTATACTGTGAGCCTGTAAAGTATGGCATATTAATTAAGGAAAGGAACCTAGGGATGGTTTAGTTATGATAATCATATAATGCTTTGTAAAAATAACTGAATAACAGAAAATATACAAAAGTACAAGAATAAAGTGTAAATATTTCAAAAACATGTTATTTTTAAAGGAAGTTTGTAATCTTTGGGGAAGGGTATGGATTTTTCACTTTCAAATGTTTGGTTTCTCTTACCCCCACAGATACTCAAAGGTTTCCTGCACCCCCCCCTCGCTCTCTGTAGTAGATAGCAGGATGGCCTAAAACTTTGCAGAGAAAATGACCGCCCCACCTCCACCAAGAACAACATACACACACACACACAGACAACCCCTTGACCTTTTTAAAAATGATACATGATACTTACCAATAAAAAAGATTGAAAATTAAATTGTCTAACAGTTCAAGAATAGGCCTTAAGGCAAAAATAATGATTACATAAACTCAAGCCCAGACCTATGCACCACAGAAAGCCCCTCAAGATAAGTGTTGCTGCTTGCTCGCTGCGGCGCCATTCACAACAACATAATAATACTGATACATAAACAATAAGAGAAACTTACGGAAATCGGTGTGCTTCAAGAAACAGATTAAGTCCAAGGACAAATAAACAAGCATATTATCACCCAAAATAGAGGCTACAGTATGGTATGGTATGGTATGGTAACTTTATTTATACACGGTATTTCCTTCAGGTACCTTTACATTCAAGTAGAGAAAACTAACTACCTAACTAAACTAGAATCTAAGAATATTTACACTGATGATGTTGGTCAAATGCCAAACAATATATTCTAGGTAGCCTTCCCACAGGTACAGTAATTATTAAGAGCAATCTTAATTTTATCATAATTATAATTAAAAAAGAAATGTTCAAATCCACATATAAACCTTTATTTCAAAAGACGAAAACTTCTCCCTTTTGAAATTAGTGTTCTGTGTTGGCAGTGCAAGTGGGATATGAACAATAATTTTCACCCAAATCAGCTTAAATGTATTACTCCATGCTAATCAGAAATCATGCTGAAAATCGAAGCAAAATGGTGCCAGGTAACATAAATGAAATTCTTCTTCATCTCCCTCAAACTATCCAGACATTTAAATCATAAGATAGAAAATACAACACTGTAAACCCGAGATTAACATACTTACAATTAATGTTATTCATTTTCCTTTTTGAAAATACAATGAATAAGAAGTGTCATTAGTGTAAATAAATAAAATTCATTGAGTATTCTGCTAGCATAGTGCTGACAGGAAAAAAATTATGTTACTCGAGTTTTGTTTGAATTATATGGGGATGTCAATCGCCGCACCTCCAGAGGCAAGCTGTTCTATAACACACTTCCACTATAGGAAAGACTTCTTTTATAAAATTCAGTGCGGGGTTGTGGTTGTGGAACAGTGAGCTTGTATTCATTCTCTCTAAGGTTATAGCTAGTTAAATCACAGCGACGAACAAAATGTGAAGTCAGATATTCTGGAGCTGTGTTATTTATAGTGCTATACACCATTGTTGCTTTACTAACTGCGCGCTGATGGACAAGTTTCGACCACTTTAAACAGTGTTTATTATCTTTCACAAATTTAATCACAGCCTACTGTTTGCCGCATGAAATGTTTTCTTTTAAGTTTTTTTTTGGTTTGACTTAGTGAACAAACAAATATTTTCCTTCTTTTGTAACAGCCATAGAATGCATTTTCATCTTCAGTTAAGATTTTAATGAAGACTTACACTATATCGTAGAAGATGTAAGGTTTGAAAATTAAGGAATATCACCCAGGTGACATTCTCAGATATCATCCAGTTTTAGCTAGCGGTTACTTGGTCATGTGATGCATTTAGACCAATAGGGCTCAGGCGAAAATATTTGATGGATCATAACAAAACTTATAATGATGATGACTATGATACCCATGATTATGTCAAAAACCATCCCAGAAGTCTTTAGTAAGGAGGTTGCACTTATTGTAGTGGTTCCTGAAAAGGTGTTTGTTAAGATTAATTCTAATATTTCATGATATAAAATTGCACTTGCAATGAAGAGTTCACTGGAAGGAGAATTATTTATGAGATCATGGGAGTGAAAGGGTGAAAAGAGTAAACTACAGTTTTACCACTGACAAGAGACAAGTTGCAAACAGCTTATACATGTCATGTAGATTATTTGTACATGGTCACAAAATTTCACAACTTCTATTCTCTGGAGGGAACTGTCAAGATCATTCATTCTCCTTCTCTTTTTTCTATGAATAATTGCTGTTGAAATGTTTTTTTGAGCTGATTACATTCACAACTTAGATGTTATGCCGATCATCATGCTCTTACATGTACCACAAAGTTTAGGGGTAACATGTTCTTTAGAGTTACCCAGTAATAAAGGAAAAACTTCTGACAGTATTTTTTTCCACAATTCATTAAGGTTCTGCTTGACAATTATGAGGACTGGCAGCTGGTGTGTTCATTATCTTATAAGTGATCCTATGGTTAAAGATAACAACCTCAGATTAATTAATAATGAACTTTTTCAACTCTTTCTGCAAGCAGTTTATTGTTCTGAAGTTAGAACCAGTAAATTAATTTTCTACCTCCAATTAAATTTTTATACCCAGTTCAAAATACAATTCTCACATCTGCATCTGAATTTGCAGAAAAAATACATGAAACAAGATGATTTTGTCACATGAATAATAGTTTGCCATATCAAAGGAACATATGACCTGGTTTTTAAAAAATAAAACTGTCTTTTTTCCTAGATCATTACAACTGGGGTAATGTAATTTCATGACTATTCGTTGAAAGTCAATAAACTATACATTCATTGCACATGTTTGCTTTGCTTTACAGCAAAAATAAATTACTATTTGACTTGTTTTCAAAGGAGCTCTCATGAATATTTGCACTGATGATGTTGGTCAAATGCCAAACAATATATTCTAGGTAGCCTTCCCACAGGTACAGTAATTATTAAGCGCAATCTTAATTTCATCATAATTATAATTAAAAAAGAAATGTTCAAATTCACATATAAACCTTTATTTCAAAAGACGAAAACTTCTCCCTTTTGAAATTAGTGTTCCGTGTTGGCAATGCAAGTGGGATATGAACAATAATTTTCACCCAAATCAGCTTAAATGTATTACTCCATGCTAATCAGAAATCATACTGAAAACCGAAGCAAAATGGTGCCAGGTAACATAAATGAAATTCTTCTTCATCTCCCTCAAACTATGCAGACATTTAAACCATAAGATGGAAAATACTACACTGTAAACCCGAGATTAACGTGTATGACAAATTATCAAAGAACACAAATTCTGTTATCATTAACGTCATTCATTTTCTTTTTTGAAAATACAATCAATAAGAAGTGTCATTAGTGTATATGATTAAAATTCATTGAGTATTCTGCTAGCGTAATGCTGACAGGAAAAAAAATATGTTACTCGAGTTTTGTTTGAGTTATATGGGGAATGGAGGAGGAAACGTGAAAAAACCCTGTGGCCAATTGACGTAATTACTTCGAAATATTTGTTTTATTGTAATTAAAATAGAATAATTCGCAAAAATTATAAATAATTATTGCGTACTTGTGATATGAAAAGAAAATAACTGCCAGAGGCAGTTTCCTCTTCTCTTATTTTTGCCTTTAATTACTCATTGTAAACATTAGCTAAGAGGACAGGAGGTGCGTGTTTGCTAAGTTGCCATACGGAAATTCCGCGCAAGGGCACTTCATGACGGGTTTCGTTTCAAGCGTTGTCGTGGTAATTACCTTCCAAATAGACAAGAACGAGATGTATGACAAGTTCTTAGAAAACATCGAAAAACACAAATAATTTGCTTATGCGTGAGATGTCAAAATCACTCACGTAAAATTTATCATGTGAGGATATGAGCACGCAGCCACAGTCTCTCGACGTTAATAAAGTACCGCTTATATCTGCTACTGGGATCGTACTTATTTACATATCTTCGTGCTGAATAGTAATAGAAAAGCCGCTTTGTAGGATTTAACACGAGATAAAAATTATTACTGGCTAAAAAAAAAAAAAAAAAAACCGACGGAAATATCACAATATTCTGCTACATTTAGAACTGTTAGGGAAATTTGTGTTCAGAATTATTAGTAGTGCTATCTGGGCCAAAGGTTCGTGAAACGTTTTGTGTTATTAGCATGTTATCTGTGCTATAATAATATGAATATGCATGTGTGGAATGTTGTAAAGTGTTGCTCAATTTACGAGGGAAGTGAAAACGTGCAAAGTTTGTCTAGTGCTGTAACGCAGATACTGAAAGTTTCAAAACAATTAATTGCAAATGGTGAGTGGCATTGTGAAATGGCTAGTACTGTCTAAATTCGTAGGAGAATCGAAAGCGGTGATGAAATATCCCTGCAAAAATAATCTATTATGAACTAGAGACAGCTGTGGTGCAGTAATTAGTTCACTGAGTAGATGGATGAATAATTAAAGAAATATGCTGTTATTGACATGAACTATGAAAGTAGCAACCCGTAAAAGTTTTTCCATTAGGCTCGGCATAGCACGACATTTCACGCCGATAGGAAAGTGAAATCGACGGCAAGGTTTGAATACCAGAAATTAAAAGTACAAGTGTAATGACGTTTGTAAATCATAATGAACTAACTTTATTCCTTAGTAATTTGCGTTAGCGTGAATAATAATTGCTTTTAATTTGCCGTATTAAACACGCGTTGAAATCCGTGCAGCCCCCGTTCGAATAGCATCAACTGCGGTGTAACCTTTCCATCATTGCATCTTTAACCGGTAACTGCATGTACACAATGCAAACTGCTGGGTAATTGAACAATCAGCTGAACCACTCACCTCTAAACTGGACAAAGAAGAAAAGGGTAGCTAAATAAGACGCAATCTGCATCCGCAAACGTGCCATCGAGAAAATCGAAGCGAAGACTGAATTGAAACGATTTTGAGTCCCTAGCTTTGGCGAGAATGAACCCGCTAAGGCTTCGTGCACTTTACAAGCGTTTTCCCAGTAGCTGAATCGAAATTCTCTCGTTGAACATTAGCGTTAGCGACGGCCAATGCAACGTTGCCGCAGATAGAGATAATGACTAAACTTCAATGCACAATGGGAAACCACTCAATGGGCGCGAACGGAAGCAGAAACGTAAGTAAACAATTCACTGATTGCTTGATGTCAAGCATGTCAGCGTGTGAGAGAGAGACGAGCAAAGAAAAATGACATATCACAGACAAGGTCACTTATAAACTTCCATCCTTGCTGAATGTGTCTATCAGCATTTTAAAAATTCATGAGGTGAGGATCTTTTCGACTGAGCGATATTCCAGCAGGAACCAAGGAGCACGTAGTACTCTTTATTGTGCCGAGCGTTAATTTTCACATCTTGTCACGCAATCAGCGTAACGACCACACTCTTTGCCGCCGATTCTTGGAAAGTGTCCAGCAAGCGTGTCAGTGAAGGAAAAAACTGACTAGTGAACAATCCTTTGAGATTAAAAATTTCACGAGATTGTTCCGCATTTAAAACTAATCTGTTGAGCCAGTGACTCTATCAACAGGAAGAGGGAAGTTCTCGAGGTTTACGTCCTGTATTTGAGGTTTTTCTTTGCCAATGGAAAAAAATCGGCAACGAAACTGAGAGGGTTAAGATATTACTAATCAATTAATTTTATTCACTTGGAGACTAAAAGAGAAGAAAGGGAAAAAAAAAAGAAAGAAAAACAACCTCAAATCAGAGTAGCTGATCTTTATCGCGAAATGAGAAGTTAAAAACAAAGGATCTAAGTGTAGTTTCAGCGCGTTCAAGGCAATGCTGTTATGAGACTTCTGTTTAGAAATTTCAAAGAAAACAGACGGTAAGAAGGAAATCCGGGCACGTCTTTGAGTTTCAGGTTTCGGGCGATAATGGGACACCAAAATATGTCAATTTGATCGATAAAGAGCCGAAGCAAAACCACAGCTACCAAACTTGGTAGTGTGCACCAAAGAGTTTCAATCGAAATCTACGATTCCTTTATCTAGAAAGAGTTTATAATTATGAATTTCTAGCATTTTACTGGTGAGTTTAAGGAGCGGAGATAACAAGTACTGTTAGGCGGCAAGATGACTTTTAAACAACATTCCGATCGTCTGTCACTTGCTGCGCTTCAAGACCGTGGAACTTCTTTTGAAATAAATCAAACAATTTTTTCGGTAAGTCTGAATCAATATTTCGACAGATCTCCCTCTTCCATTTACGAAATTTCAGACCAGTGGAAAATCGGTGCATTTTGACTCCTTTGTTGATTTTGTGAGAGGGTTGCTCGATATTAATAAAAGTGCACTTTCTTTATTATTCACAAGGCCCTCTTTCGATTAAAACCTCAAGCCTGGTTCAATGTATTGTGAAATGTTTCCAATTTTTCTTTTATTCTGATCTGAATTTGCTTGCCCGACATCAGCGAGGTACGTGCAAAAATGTAAACCTCTGCGTCCCTTTAGTTTCAGCCCAGACTGAATCATATGAACACCTCCGCAAAAACTTTGAGACGGGTAGGGCAACAGCAAGTGTTAAGACGGCCGCGTGTTGACCATATGGGCATGCTAAAACGGAAGGAGAAAATGTTCGAGATGCAGAAAGGGTCGAAAGAGGATTAATAACAAAACCATAATTAGGTTTGTTTTTAAATGGGGCCAATATTGACAAAATTATTATTTTGACCGACCTGGCTTTCGAAACCCCGCCGAGACACTTCCTGTTTTGTATTGAATCGGTTTCGAAACTTGTATTTTTGCTTTGCAAAGATGATAGTTCCACGTGGGAAACTGATGAGGTGGGCTTAGCAATTGTCCATATGATTTATTCCGTTCACAGTTTTTGTTGTCGATTGTCGTATCAGATAAAAGAGAAGGATTACGACTGCTTTGTGACTGACTTTAACAAAGAAACGGAAGTTTTTCCAGAGTTCTTTTGAAAGTCAATCAGGTTGAGGGCTTGTAAACAATAAACACACCTTCTGTTTTTCTGAGAACCTTATTTTTGGACCGGATGAAACTAGCCGCCATTGTTTGAAATCTGTGAAAATTATACTCAAAGCTGAGGTTCTCGTGGGAACACATTTCATTTTGTTATTGGAAAATAACTTACATCATTTTCAGTTTTGATAAATGTCAATTTATCTTCAAAAAGTTGGACGGTCAACTTGGCGTCGATGTTGCCCTATTTCCGGGCTTCGACGTAAATAGGAGACCGTGTGAGTAGCCTACTAATGAGTCGAATTAATAATATTCATTTAAATTTGCCACCCTCATGACCATTTTTACCGTGTTTCTTGATCAGTTGTACATTCTATTTGACAGTGGCGATTGACGAATCCCTTGATCAATAAAGAAAATGAACCACAAAAGGAAACGCTTTTCATGAAAGTTTAATTAGTTACTTCGGCTTTGCTGGAAGACAAAGACTTAACCAAAAGTTCTTCCCACGCAACAAGAGGAAATAGAAGCTGGAATGTCTCGTTAGTGGTCTGTGAAAGATCGTGGCCAGTCATCTCCTTGAGTAGCTCTCTCGCCTGTCTAATGCAGCCAACAGATATAATGCATATGATGTCGTACAACAGGGCCTAGTGGTCTCTGTTTTGGCGATGGCAAAAAATATCTAAAGCAATAGACGTGGATGAAATTTTAAAGTGGTGGGGGAGGCTATCAGTATTGCCTTACATGCACGTAAAAAGTATTTTCAAGCTCTTTTGCAGATCATTAGACAGACGTGGAATGTAGGACATTTCAGGCAGCTTGGGCCTTGACTTTTCTGAATGACCTAGAAGAAATAAAATCAAGCGGAAGGTTGAGTCATATTCATAACTTAGGGATGATATAACCTAAGATATAATCTATGTCTTTTTCAAGAGGGTGTAGTGTAGGTATGTTGAGATGAAACAAACCCATATGGTCTGATAACCTCGTGGGTTGCAGTGTCACTTGGACATCAGCAGTTTATTAAGAACATATGGGATGAGACGGCCGTGATATGACTGATGTTGGGTTGGGCAGCTGAATTTTGTTACTGGCGCAATTTATCTTTAATGTACTGAGAAAATAAGACTTTGTTATTAGCCATGCAGGGTGCTGATGACTAAGAGGCAAAGGTTAGGCAAAAAAAGCGAGTTAAGATTCGAGGCGTTAATGTAGTTATCTAATTAGAGTTAATGTAAAATTCTGGAGTTAACCGCGTGTACAAAACCAGAGAGCAATTTATAAGTGAGTGCCAAAAGTAATCTTGAATTGCATAACATGTTGGTTTTGCTTTTCTGTGCTCTGTCAGATCAGACCAAACAGTTTAAACTTCCTTCTCAATCAACCAGATGAAAAACTAAACCAATCGCAATTTAATCCCTCGCGTTTCACTGTGTTTTAGTACCGCTGTTCCGTCTGTTGTCGTTGGTACCCTGTGACACTTCCTTTCAGGTCTCTTGGATGGCGAAATAACTATGCGTTTGGCTCTGCAACCTCGGTCAAGATGCGCTTTTTGGGCCGGCCATGGGGTCGATATTAGTGACTACCACAACAGACTTAGTGGTAAAAAAGAGGGAAGAGAAAGAGAACCGCAAATAACCTTTACTTTGAAGAGAAATTGGTTGAATAGGGCAGTTTTCAACTGAGCAACGAAATGCCAAGTCGGAGTAATTACAATGGCCAATATGAACAAAGGTTCAAACAATCTTTAGCCGATGAAAAAAGTGCAACGAAACAAGCAAATTTCCTGAAACGCAGAAAAACGTGGGTGACTAAGTCACTATTGGTTTTCGTTTTGCGTTAGATTGGTTGAAAGAATAGCGCGCGATTTCTGGCACATTCACGGAGCGAGGTAAAGTGAAGGCAAAGTAGAAGCGGATTACACTCATTACTGAATTAAAAATTTCTCTAGGGTTTTTTCATTCGCAAGAGTGATTTATAATCAGGTTGAGGGAGTAAAGACTGGCTCCATTACCAGCTGCAGTTCAGGAAATGATCCCGCTTCAAGAGACTCCATGAGCTCACACCCGTCTCCTGAAGAGATATTTTTATCGGAGAGGAACGAAGGACGTATTTGAGTTCAAGGGAATGACGAAAATCGAGCGCAAGGAATAGATGGAGTGCTTTTAAAGCAATATTTCAATGTGTGAGAGGGTTTTAACTACAAAGGAGACAAGTTGTTTTTTTTTTATTTTTTTTTATTTTCTGCCATCCGTCTCAAGTTTGAAGAATACTTTTCCAGTTCATCTACACTTTAGGTCAACTTAAAGCCTAATTGTCGATCGCGAGATTTCAAGGATCCCCAGCTTTGAATACTATTGCTCTAAACAGGAATAGGATAACGCCACATCACAGTGTGTCAGTCAAATTTCCATGTCTGAACAGGCAGGAAAGCAAAGCCATCAGAATGAGTGCGGTTTAAGAAATTTTGTTTTTAGAAACATCGATATGCGTACACTGAGTTATTCTTATCAGTTGATTTCCCAGCGACAGACTACCGAAGGCAACGCCCATCCTAAAAATTTCCTGTTCCAGTATAAAACGGAAAACGATTTAATTTATCGTTGTCGATAATGAATCACCACGGCCAGCCGTTTGGATATTTCAAGCCTTCTTTTTTTACAAGGAATGAAGTTTAACCATGCTAGTGAAAGGATCTCTGTTGATGGAGACATTTAGAAAGCACTCTGCATTGCTTCCAACTGTGTTCAAACGTGTTGGAAAGTTAGGTTGTTAGTTTTGCCTTCAGCTTCTGAGAAAGATGTAGATTTCTTGATTTCTGACATCCTTCCGTCGAAATATGGGTGAAAAAAAAAGAATATATAGATTGATAAATAAATAAATAACAGAGTTATTTTGTCAAAACAAATATCTAAGTTTTGGTGAATGTGATTTGTTAATTTGCTTCTATATTACAAGACGAAGATGTAAACTTGTCTACCAATCGCCCCAACCCCCACACCTGTTAAAAGAAAGTTCATTCAGAATGACTGGGTCTTTCGGTGTTTGTAGCGATTTAAAGCCGAGGCCATAAAATCCAAATTAAACCTCTCCAACGCTCCGAGAGTGGTAAAATTGGACTATGCTACGTGGCTAAGCCGGATCAGCTGATGTTATGTATATTAAGCGTTCTTAGTGTATAATTTTAGACCTTATTGTATAGTCGTCAAGCTGTGATACTTCAGTCGCGGCGTGACGATTTAAGTTATTACAATAACTCAAGTCCTTATATCACTTGTACGGGTATCATGAAAGCGCATATCAATATGTTTTCGAGATATTTGGTTGGTTCATTTGCATAATATTTCAGAGGGGAAAAGTCAACGACAAATTAACACAGTAAGATAAACAAGAAACGTGTTGTGATTAGAATATACAAATGTTGATGTTCAGGTGAATGATGACTTTACCTATTTCAAGTTAACGGAACAGATCTATTTCGTATTAGTTTGAAATACATGACTCCAGTTAGTTTTTGTAATAAAGACGAGAATAACTACAGAGTCATTATAAATAAGTCGTATTATATACATAAATTTAATGGATGGCGTCTTTGGGTAATACAGTACGTGGCTTTTAACAAGCGCATTGTTCTTTCAAAGAGAGCACGATTGACCTATCGCACCTGTTAATTTTTTCCGGATCAAAATACTTTTTGTTTCAGAAACAATAAAAGATATTTGTCTTCAGAGTTCAAGGATAGAAGGTAGTGGTGATTTTTCGGTTTAAATGAGAAACATTTTATAATTGATATTTGTTTTGTTATATCGAAATAGGAATGGCCATGAATTTAGGTGAGTAGTTATGGAAACGTGAAGCTTTACCTGGAATGCATAGAAATTGTTTGGTTGGTTGATTTAGGTCTTTGAGCAGTTTCGGTTTGACAGATGAGGAAACTAATTCTTTTTGAAAAAAAATTAATATTAATGATAGGGAAAAAAATAACATCAAGGGAAATTGTAAGCCACGAAATCATATTTGTTAGCAAGAGGTTTCTTTTAAGCTGAAGAAATCTTTGTCAATCGAAAGGTGTTCAGTATTTTGATTAATGTACAACTGTCGCGTCTTACTGTACTAAAATTGTTCCAAAGGGGCTAAGGTTGCCTGGAAGCATTGGTATGAAAACAATAGATGTGAATTCACCATCAGGATATACTGTCTGAGCTTCGCGGAGTGTGGAGTGCATTCGGTATCAAACTGGTCTTAGACAGCAATTCTCGCTCGGAGTATATTTCGGTAAATTTAACAGATGGATGAAGTTCGTATGCCTTACCACATTGTTAATTTCTGGCTTTTGGACTTGACAGCAAGTTTCCTTGTATTTGTGAGCGCGTGGTACGGCAAAATAAAACGGCGAAGGATACAAACAGATGAAGTTGGCGATTATGTTATCACTGTAGTCAAAGAAAAGAAAGTAGGCGAAGGAGAAGAAACATCGAAGTCACTTTGTCAGGGATCATTACGTCGGCTTTTTCTGTATACGACGTATTTTGTAATGATGGCTGCCTCTGTTGTTCTCTTTGATTGTTATCCTTATTTTATGATATTTTTCCAACACGTAACAGTGATTTTCTGCATTTTGATAACATTTTTTCAATGGTTTCAACCTCGGTTGGCGATGTTCATTGGAGGGACTTTCTCTACACTCTGGCTTTTGAGCGGGGCCACGACATTTCGTTGGGTCCTAAATGATATTATAATCGCTTTTTTCGGGCTGCTTGTTGGATACTTGCACTTTAAAAATTTCCCATCGCTTCAGATGTTTCTGTGGCTGGCAGTGGTCTATGATGTGTGTCTGGTGAAAAACGTATATCTAGGTGTCCCTTCTCTGTTTAGCGCAGGGAAAGGGGAGACAAATTGTGAAACGGTTTTTTGCAAGGCGTTTGAACTCAGTGAAGCTTGGGAATTACCAACTATTTTCACATTCAAATTCGGCCCACGGGAGGAACACGTCTATCTTGGAGCTGGTGATATAATTATCGGCTGCATGGTATCGAATTTCTCTCAGATGTTTTTCAGGTCTTCAAAATACTTGTCTGCAACAGTTTTGACATACGCAGTAGCCATTGCTTTACTGAGCCAAGTCGGCGACGAGCCGTATCCAGCTCTTGTTACAATTGTTCCTCTGTGCAGCCTTCAGTTGGTCTTGTCCGCCATTCTTTCTCACAAAACCAGGAGTTTGTTTTCTTTAAAGTGCTTGGATAGCGAAAGAGAGCGAGAAGGACATGACATGAATATTCTTCTTTGAATCTACAAGGTATTAACAGCCTAAGGTACTTACGTCAGAATACTTTGAGAATCGGCTTTCAAATAATACCGAATACGATTATGAAATAATTGCTTGCAAGGGTACGAGGAACTAATTGTGTGAGAATATGCGACAAAAATAAAAATACACCAAGGGAAGATTTGAGATGAGTCGTGAAAAGGTTTGCCGCGGGTTTAATAAATGCTAAACCCCTTGCAGACCTCGCGCTGGCTAGCGTTGATCAATTAAGGCATGATACTTTCCCGCGGGCCAGCAGATGCTCCTGCCGAAGCCCTTATAATAGGAGTGTGCTCTCTGGCTAAGAAGAAAAACTTTTACACAAAATGATTAGGTTGTTGTAAACTCACGGTCAATAGGGAGAGAGAGAAAAGGTTACTTGTTGGGAGAACGTTCGTGCGCTCTTTTGCTCGTATTTCATGACGGACTAAAAAGGTTTTTAAAATCTTCAAAGTAAACAACTTGTGGGTTTGACTCTGTGGTAATCTTAATATGTCACATTTCATTTTCTTCACACAAATTAATTTTTTTTTTAACAGAACACAAACAAATTTGATTTTCCCAGCTTCTCAAGTGACAGCTGATTGATGGGATTTCATTCTAATGACGACTTCTGATTTCAAGGGACGATTAGCACTTGTAAACTTTCGGAAAATTCAAATAAAACTTTGACAAAGTGGCACGTACTAGTTATATTTATTCAGGGAAAAATTGTGAAAAATTATCTGCTGGTTGAAAAATCACCCAAATGAGAAAAACCTTAGAGTTGTCAGGGATAAACTATGGGGTAATAGTTTTACTTAGGGGTAGAGCGAGTTGAAGTAGCTGCCGCCGTGAAATGAGGAAGCCTTCTCCTTTGCATGTAGTCGTTCTTTGGAATGCCATGAAACGCGCCGCTCAACAAAACGCTCACGTCCAAACCACAAGTCACATCTCCTTTCCCGATCATGGCCAGGGTTACATGTTTAAGAAATCCTGGAGTCTCTGGCATGGGAGAGGAGGGAGAGGGGGGTTATTTGCGTGACATCCCATCAATCGCTGGCTACGAAGAAGACCATTGAAATCTGGTCTCTTTCTCTACCCCAAAATGTTTCACTCCGAAGAAATTCATTCTCCCTTCCAAGCCACATGCTTTTTCGACGTTAACCAATAATTGCTTGGGTTCGATATGCAAGACACCATTTGCGCCAAATTCTTTAATTTCTAGCGGAGCGGAGGGGTGGGGGCGGGGAAGGGAGGTAAGAGTGATTTGATAGACATTTCGAAAAACGGCGGCAAAAAAGACTATCAAAATGTAGGCCTTTCTCATGCATGATTTTGACAGTGCTTGCACTGCTCGCGTGGCTATTTGATCTCTGACACTGTTTCAGCGTATTGCCATATCGTTCCTGTGGGAGTTAACCTTATTAGGATGTTCGAAAATGAAAGTTATTTGACACCCAGCTGAATACCGTTGATGATTAACTTAGCGCAGAATACATTTCGGTTATACGTGTTTTGAAACCTGTTAGCTTGTAACATAAATCAGCTATGTTCGTCCCCGAAGCAAGATAATTTGTAGACGCAGAATGTCAAGCTTTGTGGTGTTGTTTTCAAACACACAGTAGGGAACAAATAATCAAGATTTCTGCCTGGATTTCTGTGAACTGAAGGATAAGGATTCTCAGCCATCAAGCTATCGGGCAGAAATTATGAACTCTGTAAACACAATCCTTCTCCTGATCGTGTACTTGATTCAGGTCTCTTTGGCGAATCGGTTTTTGTTGCCGTCTTTATCTTTACGACAGAGAACCCGAGGTAAGACACTATCCTTTTCCTCTTTTTGCTTTGTTTAATGGAAAAAATTGTGAATTTAATCATGGCATTTGAAGGCGATTTTGGCGGAAAGTTTAGCATAAAGCCAGCAAAAGATTTGCTCTGCAGTTAAAAGCAAACAATCAGTTTATTGTATATGTATTTTTAATTACTTATTCAATAGAATCGAATCATAGAGACTCCACAAAGAAGCTGTAAAACGTTGTTATGTGTAGAGCAGTTACAACCTGACATTACTTGCGTGACGTGTAACTCGGGGTAGTGGATTTGCGTCACTCTTACATAATGTCATTCCCTCGTACGTGCGTAGGTGATTAAATTTTGAAAGACGATTTTCGTGAGGGAAAGTAAGTAAGGGGCGTGCAAACTTTTCCCCTCTGTTACGTTTTACGCTGATTCTTACACTCACTTATCTTAGTAACACCCTAAGTCGCTCTCACCTTGTTGGAACTGCGCGAAGAAGAACGGTAACTTAGGCTAAATGGGCAACAAAGTCCCGTAGATTGTTAAGAACAGGTCGAAAAGTCAACGGAAATACGACATATCAGAAAACAGAGACAAGACAGGCGATTTGATCGGCTTCACCCTCAGCATGCCGATCGGCCCAGTGATATGATATAGGAGGATACAATCGAATTTCGATTTCTCAGTCCAATCGTTAGTCTCTCGAAACTCCCGTTCCGTACAATTGTCTTTTTCTTCAGAATTTTCACTTATATATTCATTTGAAAAGTATACAAAAACTCATTAATGTGAAAGTGTTCAATAAACATGACAAAAAGAGAAACTCTGGATGAGGTTGTCACAAATTCATCACTTGGTCCTTCCTCAGTTAAAATAGGCCCTCAATTGAAACAGAATGGGAAGAGAGATTTATTTCCACTGTCGAAAGCCGAGCCTGAAACGTTGCGTTTCGAAACCATGTTTCAAATATGGCATTTTTATTCATACTTCCTGACTATCACGAATCAAATCGCCACTAAGGTCTCGGATATTTGTTCCTCATTGCAAGAAGAAAAGGAAAAAGAAAACATACCTTTCAAGTTTTGATCACAAATTGCGTATCACAAAATTATTTAGTGTTTTGTAAGTTGATAAGTTAGTTAATTTAGAATGAATTCGTTGATTGGCTTGGATCTTATATCTGTCATTCATCTGTCTTATCTATTTACCCATTTTTTTCTTTTTGACATAATCGTGATGCAAGATTTTTAGCATTTGCAGCATGAAAATGTTTTTCCTCCTTTTGTGAGCTTTTCTCTTCCTGTGATTGTTGTTCTGGTTGTTCTTCTCATTCTTTTCAATATTATGATTGTTATTATTATTATTATTATTATTATTATTATTATTATCGTCACTATTATCATTATTATGGGGATAGTATCACAGATTAGCTGGACAATTTCCAGTGACATCAACTGTTCAACTGTGACATCAATTATTACTTATAGTATTTAATGTTTACACAGTATTTAATATTTATATTTAATTGATATCTAAAATAGTTCTATGTTATTTGCAGGAGTATTGATAAATTATACAATTCAGTTTTCCTGCAAACTTGAATAAACGATCATCATGAATCTTGAAAAAAAAAAAGAAAAAAAAAAAAAACTCTTCTTTCTTCTTGTCAGATGTGTAAACATTTTCTTTAGAGTTTCTACCCAAGTAATTACATGTACTAGAGTAATATTTGTTCTCCTCGCAATTTCAAATCCTTCTGTACAGGTTTTGATGCTTCTCTCTTCTTTTCTATCAACATTTTAATTATTATTATTATTATTATTATCATTATTATTTTTATTATTATCGTGGGCCTTGTCATTTGTTATTATAATTGCCCTTGTCACCATCATGATTGTAATTTTTCATTATTTTTATTTTTGTTATTATTATCATTATTATTATTATTATTATGGGCCTTGTCATTTGTTATTATAATTGCCCTTGTCACCATCATGATTGTAATTTTTCATTATTTTTATTATTATTATTATTATTATTATTATTATAATTATCATCATCATTTCGTTCCAATCCTCTAAGGGAACGCCCCGACTGGAGCCAGAGGACCGCTGACACCTCACTCAATTCAGATTACTGATTGTCTGTAAACTGTTAATAAGACAGTTTTCTAGTTGGGCTCCAATTTCCTTTCTTCACAGGGAAAAAACGGCGATAGTAATTTCATTTGCAGTGCTCGTAGACTCGATCTTACTGATTATACTGAATTTCTTAGGAGTGGAAGTAAACAATATAGAAAAGACGAGCAAAATTACTCACCCACGCTCAATTTATTAAGAAAAAAAGGAAAGAGTTCCTTAGGGAGATTTCAGGCAACCACTGATTAGTCCGCGACGTCATCGCACGGACCTACGGGCATACGTGGGATTTACGAAAACGAGTTTACACCCACGTATGCACAGAGACAATCGTGGGTGGGATAAATTTTGCTATGAACCAGCTGCTAATGGCCTGAATTTCTACTCCTGTGTGGTATGAAAACTTACACACGTTCGATTTTACAGTCCATTCAAGTTACTGGCATAGCTAAGTAAGCCACGACTCACTCTAAATTTCACGATTAAAGATTGACCGTGAAGTTGAAATGCTCTTTTTAAATTATAGCTTCGCGTATGTTCATGCACTAATTTACGGTTTCTCTAAATGATCAGGAAAACCTTGTGGTACTGATAATTGTCGTTAATTCAGAGCGGTGTTCGGTCCGCTGGATTTAATCGATCAAATTCCGTAATTTATTACTTAGTTGTGCCATGAAAACTTTCATAAAACCTTCATACGCTATTGATGACGTAATCCAACACCTCGCAAAAACTTGAAAATTAGCAAGTATTATATCTGGCAATTTACCATAACCTTCTGAAAGTCGAATGATGTCTTTTTTTGTGCAGAAAAGAAATAAAACCGCTGCTTGGAAATGTTAAGCTTGTGTAGATTTTTGACCGACCGGTTTTTCCAGTTTTGTTCTTTGTTTGGCGAAGAAGCGCAAATTTACGTTGCTACGAGATACCTATAAATATATCTTCGAGATTAAAGGCCAGATTTCTTTGCTTAAGATGAGTACTTATCGCGGAAGTTGAAAATTAAATCGTCTCTTACTTACCACTCCCCAAGAGATGTGGCAACCATTTTTTGTTCGCATGACATCCCTCTCTTTGATTCTTCCGATTTAAAACTTGAGGATATGCTTAAGTATTGCACTCATTTCTTAAACTTTGATATTACTTGAAGTGATTTACATCGAAAATGATTTTTTTGACACCCAACTTCAAGATGAAATGTAAACAATTGGGGCTAAATGAAGAAAAAAATGGTTAAAATTGCTTAATCATAGGTTTGCCAATATGAGATTTTACCATGAGATTTACACACACGCTTGCACTATCAACTTAATTTTTGTCCAATTTTAATGTGATTTTAATGAACTAAAAGAGTAGATCTGCGAATCTCCCCCTTTTTTCTTTGCTCCTTTTTTCTTTACATGTTTTTTGCTACTGATATTTTCCCAGTTGGTTATTAAGACTTTTCCTTCTTCACAGCTGTTTTCTTTTTTACCGAAGGTTTCCAGGCGGTTTTCGGAGAGGATTTTGTCGCAGTGATATTTTATCTTAAATCATTATTCTTTACCCAAATAAAGCAAAAGTTTAACAATATGTTATCGATGAGGAAACGTCACCGCTGATGCAGCTATGAGCAACTGTTTAAACTTTGCGGCATATTTGCACAAATTGTTTTTCCTCGACACATTTTGGACCACTTTTCAAGTATTGATTATAACCAGTCATAATTAATGCACTGTGTCAAATATCAGTGATGGAAAATTTTACGCTGCAATATTGCTTAGTTAGTGTTGTAAGCAGGAGGTGCATTACATTGGTTTTGGAAAAAACCTTGTGAAACGCAAAGTAAATCCCTTAAGTTTACGCAGATTATTACCGAAATTTTTTTACTCTCCATCCGCTCCTTCGAAACACGGGCGATTGAATTTACACGCCAAACAAATGGGATTGTTTTCATGTTTTGTTATGCAAATGAATTCGGATCAAAATTAGCATCAAAGAGGGAATTTGTAAATTTGAGGCCTTGTAGGCGCTTCGAGAAGATTCAAACGGAGCAAAGGGTTGTTTTGAAACGTTTTCTCTTGACATTTAACGTCGATGGAATTATGTGGAAAGGTTCTAGGATCTCGCTTGTTTTATTATGTTCATGTTCAATGTTGTTGCCGGTTTTAACGAACGAGGGGCTATTCGGAAAGAAGTCTCCGTTGAAAGCGGGTAAGTTGAGTAAAGGCACAAAGAACTGCCTAAACACTTTCGTCTACGACTTATTTGAAAGTTCTAATTGTGAACATTCTTGATCTTAGGACAAGGATTTTACGACGAAAACCAGTATGATGATGGGTATGCTGAGTATACAGGTAAGAAATAAATTTTACAGTACATGTTGGATGATATTTGGGATGGAAGAAATAGGCAACAATCAGTAGTTATAACTCAGTGTTCTAATTGCATTCGCGCTCAAGATCAAACCAAGTTGAGATCAATGTATTTCACCTCCCATCCGTGATCAAAAGATTTGAATAATTCTCGAGACTTTTTATTACATCCCAAATCTTTTGATAGGGAACTGGCTAGCACTAATAAGCGAGGGAGAATTTGCATTTTACTAATATAAAAGCGAACGGCTCCAGTGCAAACTTTATGCATGATTTATCCCGTCGCTACATCGTCAGTTCTTGCCCGCCGGATTCGAACTGATCTCCATCCCCTACGGAAACATTAGAGTTGTTAGAAGTACTCTTTGTAAGCTTACGTAGGCCCTTTTGTGAAGCTTCTAAGTTGCCTCACAGTATTTTACCGTAAAGACAGGAAATAGAGGCAAAATGTTTTGAGTTGTCGAGTTCATTTGCATCGGTTTTGTATGCAGCTGCCTTGCTGCGTTTTGTGATGAGAAGAATCGTATTTTGTTAATAATTAAAACATCAACTTTGCTGTTTTTTGCTTTCTCGGTGGTGTACAAAACTATCACAACGAGGCAACTGAATGTGTTTTCTTGCATTTATTCAGGTTGTTTCGAAACCAAAAAAATATGCCTTCGTTTGATTTCGGCGTGTGAAGATCATTTTATCGTAAGGTTGAACGTACGTGTTATTCTGAAAGCGATCGTTTGTTAGAATTGATGGGGCCCAAGTGTGAGATTTCCGAGTATTTTCATCGTCGAAGGACGAAAATTACAAACAATTCATTCCGCGAATCCCTGCCGGTTGCTCTGAAAACAGTACATCGGAGCGATTCAAAATCGAGCTTTTAATTTCCTTCGTGTTTCCATGCCTAACATTTCTCTTTCTTGCTTGTATCCCTCTGGGGCGAAACGCAAATGTCCATAAATTTTCCCTTTGTAAAGCGTAGTATGTTTAGCGACGTCAATGCATATTTTTCCGTGTTTTACTTTCAGCAATTGAAAGGCGAGTGATGCAAATTATAAGTTTAGACCAAAAGCTAAAAATTTTGTACTGTGAATTCTTTTTTTAATTTTTCTCGTCTATTAATTTGATGCTTACAAGTCGTGTGGTCAACATGTTAAATTGTGGAAATTATTCGCTACAATCATGGCTTCAATTTCTATAGTTTTCAAATTCAGTGGTTTGCGTGGTTTTAAGTAATTTTAAGTTCTTAGTTGCATAAGGAACAAAGGAAGTAATCAGCCTGTTTTTTCTTTTATTCATCAACTGAGCAGCTTTTTCTGGAATTCATCTGCAATTCATTCAGAAAAATCATATTTATGTCATGAAATTCTTAAATTTCAATAAAAGTGCCATTTTTGCCTCCTTTGTATTTCTAAAGACGGGGAAAGTTCTCGCTGTATATGTGTATGGACTCATAATTTTGCCCGACCGGATAAAGGATTGCTCAGAATACTACTAATGAAAACGTTTTATAAGTTTTCACCTTTACGAGCGCCGTTTAACTGTTATAAGCATAGGCCAAAGTATGAGTGCCAAAGGTTTATGTTTTTAATAAGTAAGATTTATCAACGTCTCAGACAGAGAAAGCCACGGGCTTGATTTATTTATAAACATGGACTTACAGACAAAATAGTCACCCTCTTGTGTTATGGCAAATAAAGAATTTCGTTTTTCAGTTAATCATTTCAGCCGTCAACATATTTCGATCGTTTCCTAACTTTGGCGTCAGATATATCAATCTATATTTCCGGACTCCCTACCTTAAATTTGAGATGAGGCGATCTTTTACGATCGGAACTCTCCTTTGTCGGCGGAAAAAGTGTTTAGGCGATTTATCATAGTCGCGCAGGTACAATCTACATAATCAGAGGCGAACTGCTCTTAACACTGCTTAAAAAAAAGTGAAATAAAATGGAAAATAATAATTAATTAGGCTTGCTGTTATCCCAACTACAGTCAAGAAACGCTCTGTACGCTTCATGGTTTCCGTTTAAAAGGAAACTGCGCAAAAATATCACCATATTACAACAAAGGTTTTTACCTTTTTACGTCTTCCGATATTTATTATCGCTTCCTTCTTTATCAGAGCACACGACGGTTCCTCTCGCAGATGTTTCGGTTCTGACCGACTTGAACAAAATTTTTTTTAATAGGTCTCGCTAACTAGACATCCAAAGGAATGGAAAGCGCCATGTAAGCTTGCAAAGCTAATAGCATAGTATAGGTGCGAAAAGCCAAATTATCAAAAACAATTTGTTCTGTACGTGCTTTTTTCATTAGCTCTACTGTTGTTTGTTTACACGACAAAACTCTCTTAGGAAGATCGCGGGTCCTATGGGAATCTAAAACCAGTGTATTCGGAAAAATTTTTAGGGCAAGCAAAGTGTGTTAAAGGTAAATCTCGTTAACACCCAAGCTTTTTTCTATAGTTAATCTAAGAGACCACAGAAGGGTCTGTGAACAGACATTGATTGTGAAGTAAATCTGAGAATACTGAATTACGTTCGAACTGGAGCCACTTTTCTCCTTTTTTATGTTTCTCGATTAAGATATGGATAAGATTTGGGCGTGAAAAGGGGGTTTATGTGATTATTATTTAAGCTACGAGCAGTCACTCTTCTTTGGTGAAGTCCGTTGTAGGAGTTGAAAAAAAAAAATCGGTGAAAAAACAATGATGCTAGCGCGCCAGACCCGCACGGAGCGCTAACATCATTTTCTGAACCCACCGTTTGAAAATAGCATATTGCATTTTTGTTTTGTTTTAATGGATTTAAAAAACCCCATGACCTTCTTCTACATCTTTAGAGGGTCATGTATCGTGAACTACAACAGTAAATTGAAATTCATGTGTTTAATTCACAGGGGCTGAAAAACGGACTTATTCCGCAATGCAGCGGCGTCGAATGCAGATTCAAAATGTGATGCAAGACGAACCACTAGAGAGGAAGGAAAGCATAGAGGATGTTTTATTACGGGAGTTAACCAGAGGAGAACATGATAATCAGGGTAAATACTATCCTTTATCGCATGGAAATAGACCTGCGTAGATAGTATAATTATCTAGTGAGCCTCTTATTGGGATTGTCTTCCTATTTAAACGGCTTATTGGTTCAGTATATAGCAACCCGTGAGAGCCGCTTCAGTGATCCTTGCTCCATCAATCTGATGCCCAGTGTGAAATATGATTTCACAAAAGCGACGCATTTTCAATTTCTCAGCTAAGCTTTTTTTATTGCGAGAACTTTTCACATGCCGTGATGGACTTTGATTCTTAAACTCTTAAACAGTTTAACTTCCATTTTGCAGAAACTTACGATGAAGAATATGCTAACAAGATAATGAAGAGCGATAGAAGATTTTCAGACTTTGATAAGGAAAGAAGAAAGGAGAGTTTTGATCAATTGCCAAAGAGAACATTCCTGTCTGATGAATTGAAAGGTAAGCGCATCTGAATGAGTCTGAATGCAGGCCACAGGTTAAAAAAAATATTGAAAAGATCAAACCCATTCTTTGGTTTGTCAAATCACCTATAGGCGACAGCAGTTGAAATCTCATTGCGTCGTTTTGCGGAGCCGCATGTACAGTTTGGCATTCCTTTGTCAAAGCACACTGAGGTGTCCACTCCATTCTGCAAATTCGCTTTTGATTTGTTTATTTTTACTCACCACTGCTCCATTCTTGAAAAGCGATGCAATCAAGGAAATACGGTATATCTATAATTATGATCTATTTATAAGACATGAGGTTAATCAAAAGATTGGCAGGGCGTATTGCCCAGGATTAAGCATTTTTTCAGTATTCATGCTCATGTAATCCATTTGCAAAATCCACAAGGACATTTCTAGGGGAGGAGGGGGGAGGGTTTGGGGATTGGTGGTCGAAAATATAAGGTTGTATGGTTTCCCACGACAGTACTGTAGAACTGATCAGAATCTGCTTAACTGAGAAGTCAATTTGATAATATAAACAAATAGTTTACCAATGTGTGAAGTAATTACTGTATGTTGTTGATTTGCGGTTTGATGGAACCATCTATGGTAAATATATATGAAGTACGTTCCATTTCCTTCACTCGTTATTCCGTACCTTTGTTAAATCCTTACCGGATCTTTTTTTTTTTAACAGAGCAAATTGAAGAAGGGGTTGGAGACGCCATTGATGATTTGGCTTTAAAGAGAGAAGAGGAGAAACTTAAAAAAGGACAGAAGAAGAGAAACTTTGATCATTTACCAGCTAATGGAGGTGGGCATTCATTGTAATTTTTGCAACATTTCATGTTCAAATTCAAATTAGTTAGAATTGTTTTGCTAGTTTTCAGAAAGACTCTGCTTTGTCGCTTACTCGTTTTGGGAATGGTGCAAATCGATGTAACTTTGGAGGTGCCACTTTCAGCTAAAAAGTGGGCAAAGAATGTTGAAAAGACGACTTGTTTCCAGTTATGCAGATTGTTTAAATTTCAAATTTCTGTCCTCTTTTGTGTAATATCAAATATTTTACCAAAGGTCTAAAGTAATAATCCTATTGCCACTGTCGATGTTCACAGTCGGTGTTTAGCGATTATTTCAGATACCGAAAGGGGCAGCATTTATTGCAACATATGACATGCATGCAACATAGGAAATGCAAAGTCATCTTGTGATGGCTTTGCCCACTGTCTCACTTTTCAGTCACTGTTAGCGATTTCTTCACGGATTTTTCTCGCAGACCTTTTCGAAGAGGACATCGTCATGGACCGTCGCTTGCGTTCATGGGTGACTGGTCAGGTTGACAAGAGAGACGCCATCAATGACGTGTTTTATTTGTGGCCTACAACTATACAGGGTGGTAAAAGAATCGTCAGAGTACCCTACATGAAATCAGAAGAATTTAGCCTAGGTAAGAACAAAGTTTGGAGCCTTTTTGTGAATAAGTGAATTAACAGTTGATGCTTGGAGACCGCAGTTTTACGGTTTAGCTGTAATTAGTAAGCACTATGTGGTGTCTGTCATAAAAACATTCTCTCCCTTTCATCACGGAGGTTTTAAAAAAAATGAAAAGTGCTTGCTGGTGAAATTTGGAACGCTGTTGGAGATTTCGGGCAACCCTTCGTGTTACTCTCGAGATAAAACCTACAATTCTCTCAAACGATTTTAATCAGTCAGTCTCGAAGAGGCGATCTATACTTACAACTGTATGCTGCGCATCAGCGCTGAATTTTTCTTGAAGCTTCGTTAAAGAAATTAATTGTAGCTGTAAGTCATTATTTTCAAACTATTCGAATACAGTCTATACGTGCCTCATTTTTACTTTAAAAATGTTTTTTTTAATTTCGCAGACCCTACCAAGATGGAATGCTTAAATAACGCAATTAATTCTTTCAACAAGTATACTTGTATACGTTACGAACCTCTGGCAGAGGACGCAAATGCAGACGAAGTGGATCACGCGCATTTTATAATAAATCAGACCATGTAAGTTAACTTATTCTTAAACTTAAACGTGTCTATACAATAACTTCGTTTCATCGAGAAATTTCGATTCAGTTTTGTGAAGGTCTCAATAATTATCTGTTAACATCTCAAAGATTGTTGACTGGGCTGAGAGTGACAGACGTTATTCTCTTTCTCTCTTCAGGTGTTACTCAAGTGTTGGAAGGCAAGGCGGGAGGCAGGACATATCCATTGGAAACGGATGCGAACGGGTCGGAACTTGCATTCACGAGATGATGCACACGATAGGCTTCATTCACGAACAGTCTCGACCCGACAGAGATAAATATGTCAGGGTCTACTATGACCACATAAAGTCAGGTGAGTGCGTTGACTATATCGACTGAGTTGAGGTGACGCAATGTTTGCCGCGCCGGGTTCTGAATCGGGAGGTCTGGGCAGGAGCGCTGAGCAGATCGCTGTGTCGCTTTCATGCGTAATAAATACAATGACACACACTTTCCACCAAAGATTATAAATGGGTACCAGCGAACTGCTGGGTTAACGTGGTAAAAATCTTAACCAGAAATTGCTATCAAGTGTTCACCGGCTTGTACTCAGCTGGCGGAGATTTCGCGTGGGAAATAGAAGTTATTTTAAGGGTTCCTGTTCTACCTTATGCATCCTTTTCAAGAAAAAAGCAATACTTACTAAGAGAATCTTTGGCTGAACATTGGCACTGTTTTCCTTACTAGGTTTAGAACATAACTTTGAGAAGTATACAGTAAGGGAAGTAAGGACGTTGCCTACAAATAGAGATTACTACGACTATGATGTAAGTTGAGTAATTTTATATCATCAGCTGAGTTGATAACGTAAATTGGCCACCTTAAAGAGTTCCAAAACTGACGTTTAGAGCGTTAGCCCTTCGTCAGAGCAAAAAGCGAAGAGCCCTTCGCCCTGAAGAAGGGCTAACGCTCGAAACGTCAGCTTTCAAACTCTTAACAGTGGCCAACTTTACGAAATCAACTCAGTTGATAATACCATATTACCTTGTTTTAATCTCCTACCGACCCAGCACTATCTAAGGATCTTTAGAAACTTACCCCCTTAATGTTGTAAATTGGTTTTAACACTGTTTCAGCCAATTAAGGTTTTGTTTGTTTTTGGATTAAGCTCTATCATGTGCTTTGATTTTGAGCTATGCTGGAAAATTTTCTGAGTTCATAACACTGATGATGTGTAGGATGCGCGTACAATACTAATTGACCGTGATAAAAGTAAACTTCATTCAGACTAATTAAGTTTACTCCAGAGAAATTTCTGTCACGATTTGGTACCAGAAGCGTCTTTCGGTTTACACAACAGTAGAATAAGCTATTAAAGAGATCTCAATTTAAACAGTGGGTTTAAAATTTTCGGAAACGAGAAAACCAGAACACTCTTATTATAATAATAAGAATTATAATAATATGAATGTTCTGGTTTTCTCGTTTCCGAAAATTTTAAACCCACTGTTTAAATTGAGATCTTTGTATCCGAATATCTTGAACGGTTTTCTTCTTTAATTTTTTAATGTGTTCACTCTTGTGATGCAGATCAAGTTTAAGGAAATATTTTGACAACTGTTTTGGCATAGTTGTCGCCGAATTTTTCGATCTGCGTCACCGTTTGAGAAGTCAAACTTTTCAAGAATGATTGATGAGTGAACGATTAAACATTTTGTTTGTGTTGAAGTCAGGCCAAGGTAGTCAGCTAAGTGTCATTCACGTTTTATATTACTCGCTTTTTTTCTTCTTTCAGTCTGTTCTACATTACAATAATCACGCATTTTCTAAGGACTACCATGACACGATTCAATCGAAAGAGAACCCAAACAGGAGGTTTGGTCAACGGGAAAGCTTCAGCAGACATGATATAAAACAAATTAATCAGTTGTATGGATGCGACGTTGAAAATCTTAACAAGCTTCTCCAAGATGTTCCATTTAATTAGACAACTACTTCCGCAAGACGATCCTTCAAGTTCTTGATAACCTTGTAACTCTCAAGGTCTCACAAGTTATTCTCTTCTTTCACTCTCCTACAATTTTCCTTAATGTAGTTGAGCCAATTTAGTGCTAGACATCCACCAGCTGATGCGTTTCTCTGTTCTCATAACGTGTGCGCTGGATATTGCATTACAAATTCGAAGCTGTTAGAGCAGTTTTTAATTATGATTTAGTGTCGAAACCGCAGAAGCAATGTAACTACAACTACCAATGAGAACTCAAAACAAGCAACTTGATTGAAGCGCGGGAAAATGCGAGTGACCAAGTTGTTTGTTTTGCGTTTGATTGGTTGAGAAGTTGGCGCGAGTTTTCTAGACCAATCACAGAGTGAATTAAAGCAAAACCAAAGCAAAATCAGGATCACCTTTGATGCTTCATTGAAAACTGGTCTAACATGTTCGTGATTTATGGGAGTCAAAAGTTTAAACAGGTCAGACGTCGCAATTTTCATGTACTTAACTTAAATAACAATTGGGGTCGACCCAGTTAATAAAGTTTAAATCATTTACTCAATCTTTTAACTTAACAACTCAAATTTTTACTTTGGTCAAAGTGCAACGTACAAATACAAATCTAATAAATTGAACAGATATTCGGCACATGGAAAGTTCGACGTTTGAATCAAAGTCGCTCCACGGTCGAACTTCCCGTGAGCACATGTCAAGCTAGAAGCTTGAGCTGGGCCTTAAACGACTTGAAGGACCGTTTTTGCTCTTGTAGAAACCCAGGCCCGATACACATACTAATCGATCATGTGACTCTGTAACGCTTGTCACGCAATTTTAAATTTATTTTCAGAGTAAAGGGAATTTAGATAATAGTTTTTTACGGCTAACGAATGTTAAGCTACTGGTTATGTATGTAGAAGGTACATTGGATTTTTGTTACCGGTGCTCGATATCCTTGCGTTGTGTTTTCTTTATTTCCAGATTTAAACGTCAATAATCACTGCAAAATGTGATCATTTGTACTCGAAAGGCGAGTGAGAATTTATGAAGATTTACGGAAACTTTCGTATGGTACAAAGGTTGCATTTTGTTTATTTGTTATTGTTTTTTGTGGTGCTAGGTTAACACTCTCTAATACGTTCTCTCTAATTAATACGGTAAATGTTAGCAGCCAGCAACAATCAATTCTCCTTAAATGCTAATGAAAATCAGACAAGAAAAGAAAAAGAAAAAACTGAAATGCAAGTGGCAATGTCTAATTGCTACTAATGTAGTCACAAAGACGTTTTTTTGTGGCTTTGTTGACTTTATTTTCAAACAAGAGTTAGTTGCTAGGAGTATATCACCCTGAGGGTAAAATGATATTTCATCGAATTCACTGGCTCATAAAAAAGTCTTTCACAAACGGGTTATCTAAATGTGACACACCAATATGGCTGACGTTTCACTGTTGAGGTCAATCAATGTAGATATGTGATCATTCAGTAATGGCTAATTTTGTCCGTCTTTGCTGACAGCAGCTGTGTTCAGATAGATAATAAAGACAGAGTTTCTTCAATACTCAGTCTTACATCATTGCTTACTTTTTACATTTCCCGCGAAAGAACAATTTCTCCGGCAAATTTTCTTTATAAAACCTCCTTGGCAATGGAGATAAAAAAAAAAACGAAAAAAAAACAACAAGTTGAGCCAGTTTTCTGGCAAAGCATACTGCAATTTGCGAGTCATGGTAGTAATACGCCCACCAAACTAATTTCGGTTTGAATTACCGTCGATATAAATTTCTCTAATTATGTCCAAAACCTGCTTTTATGTGTATTGTTGATAAAGATCGGGTAAACCTGTGCCTTTAGGAAATCTAATGTTTTTTTTCTTTCAGTTTCTGCTGATGTCATACAACATCAAACATTACGCCCTCAATTCTTTGTTTTGTAACTATTTTCTCTGTTGGTGGGCGGTGGGCACATAAACTTGCGTTCGTACAAGCAGTTGGTAACATAGGAACGTAGCACGTAGCACGTTTGAAGTTTCTCAAGCGAAGAAACCCGAACGCACGTTGCTGCATGACTGCAGCCTTGAAATTCCAGCTCTGAGTTTGACTTCCGATTGTTTACTGTCAGAAATACTGTCATAAAAATATTGTGGAAGTACACAATTGTTCGTTGATGGATAATGTGTTTGATTTCCGACTGTTGCTTGGTAACAAAGATAACCCTACTCTCATCCTGGCAGTATAAGAACAGAAAACTTCTTAAATTAGGGAAGATAACATTATGATAAAAGCTAAAACGGGTTATTTGCACATTGCTACTCGAACTCTCAGTGTTCAAATGGATAACATTAAGCTTCGTGTCACTTTGGAGATTTTTATAGAACACCCGGCATATCTGAGTGAGCAGTTCTCTTAAATTGTTCTTTTAACGATCACGAAATAACATGTTGAAGACCTCGGTTGACTGAGAACTTCCCAAAGTGAAGCTCTGCGCAATTATACTGACCGAGCACAAAAACACTTCAGCCGAACCAGGTACCACTTTTCAGTCTGTGTAAGCCTGTTTAAATTGTTATAATTACAAAGAGATGTTTTTTCAAGAAACCTCATTTCTGTTCGCAGCCTGTGGTAGCACATATATTGAAAATTCTTTTGGGCTTTCGTGGACGGATTGAGCAAGTTGATTCAACATTTATTGTTCTCGCTTACTGCAACCTGGTGTTTTATACAAAAGTATAATAATTCATTGGGGCCTCTGAGTTTTAGTATATTCTTAAACGGTTTGATCAGTGCAACCATAATTGACATAAGATAATTATTTCAGGCGGTCTCTATCGATCGAACTATTGTATTGTGTAAATTCCGATAAAAAGGTTGCCTCTGATCTTTGGAATGACAAGTAAACGTAAATTTCGTCGATTACAGAGTTCCCGTCTACCGCCCTTACTGTTAAAAGTAGGTTTTTTTTTCCCTGCTTGGTCCGTCATTTCCAAGCGTTCGTTTGTGATCATTCAATACATTTACTGCCTCCTTAGTACACAGAACTACAGCTTGAAGTTACGTAGATCATTAGCCACCAGCTTATGAAAACTGTCCTTTGAAAGACAAAGTCCACTTAAACGAAAGGCATTTCATTCGCCCGCACATTATCAGTGAGCGTAATCCATCATTAGGCCATCGGCATGATCGCCATTTTATGGACTGTCCGAAAGTTCTTCCTCGGTTTGTAAGACCCTCAGGGTGTAATCAGGACACTGTATTATACAAGGATAATATCTCTCGTTACTTTGAAAATGAATACTACCTCAGAAGAACTGTCTTCAGAATTAAAATTAACTTAAAAACCTTGTCCAAGCGAGTGAAACTAAACTATAGTGTTAAAAAAGAATCCCAATTTGGTCTGTTGCCATTTTTTACTGTTGAAGAAAAGTGCACGGTGCTGATTGGGTGGAGTTTTTGACGCTATTATCAAACCTTGATAGCGGATTAGCTGAAAGTTGAGCAGGCTTTGTTTAACGATTAACAACGACCGTATATGGCTACCTTGGAACAATGGCGGAAACAGATTTAAAATACACGCGGGATTTTTCAAATTTCCGATTTTCATACGAGCGGCAGATTTAAACCATCGGCAAAACTGATGATACGACAAATCCTGCCCGTGGGAGTGATTATGGTAGATTTTTTAGGATGCAAATAGTCACGGTGGGGTGGATGGCGGGCGACTGTAGCTTTCGTATCTGAAGTAAAGAAATGTCACCGTTTTTTCCTTTACATTGCTTAAAACTGGCGAAAGATATATTCAATTAGAGGCTCACTGTGCGATACAAAGGTGATGAGAGCATGTGTAACCTGGTATTAATGTCCGAAGCCTACCACGCCGTTGAATCATGTAGAAGACTATCGTCATTTGATCGATTGTTTAATGTGCGGGTATTTAAATTTCGCGCTGCGTGAATGAGATTTTGTTCCTGATGTGCACAAAAAGGTTCATATTCTCCTTCCTGTAACGTGTGAATTAAACCTGGTAATAACGTCCGAAGCCTCGCGCGTCGTTAATTCATGTAGTTTTACGGGTATCTTTCTCTTTCCGTATTTCAATTCAACGAAAGGAGTTAAAAAAACAATGGCGAGTGGAAATAGTCGCACACGCTCGTCAATTTCTCCCATTCGACTCGACTGTTCAATGCGAGTATATTTAAATTTCGGGCTTCGTAAGCAAGAAAAACTGAATAATCTCCTCCCACATTTTTTTTGTGTTTACACAAACCGACATCAAATTGATACCTATTCATCCTTTTGTGTGATAGCAGGAGGTGAGATTTTTTTTCGCATAGTCATGTTCTGCTAGTTTCTTCCTTTTTTTTTTGCTCAACAGGTTACGTGTATTTAATCACATCACTGACACTGTCAGATACATCTACCAAATTTCAGGGCAATCGAATTTCCCGCTACGAGAGTTATCCTATTTTCTTAGTTTGCATAAAGCGCTGCGCAATCGCCTCCCATAATTTGCTTACCTTAGCGTAAATGCATAAGCCCACTTGATTCGTTAAATGCCGCCTCGGTTGATTGAGAACAAACATAGAGTCCTAACGTCCGCTTTCTACAAAGGGAATATTTGGTAAAACTGTTCAAGCTTTATAATTTTCATAAAGACTGTTTGAATCCGTCGTAAAACTATGTAATCTCAAGCAAGACCTGCTTTTTTTCCTCCGAAAGAGAATATAGAACAAACGAAAAAAAACAAAAAAAAACGAAAACAAAAAATTCGCAACTTCTCCATTGTGAGACTTGTGAGTAAAATATCACACTCTCGTCTTGCCGCGCGTTTGACTGAAATCGAGAATAACTCTAAATAGATGTCCTCAAAAACTAAAGATAATTTCCTCGATCAGTACATCTTGTGTCATCAACATCGTTGCAAGAATTCTGTGTTTTTGTAAAACAGGAATCCTCTTCTTAGGTAGACTTGTTGGTTCCAGAAAGTAAGCGCTTCGTTAGAAAACAGCTGTGCGCCAGCGCCTGCCCTCTACGAAAATTTGGAGAAGCTGTTGACAGCTCCTTACTTTTAACAAAGATTGTTAAAATCCGCTGTAAAACTCTGATAGTTTTTAATGAGAGAGACTTACTTTTAAATAGGACCTGCTTTTTTTTGCAAAAGATAAATAAAAAAAACTCGCACCTTCTTCATTGTGAGACTTGTGAGAGAAAAATATCACACCCTCATCTTGCCACGCGTTTGATTGAAAACGAAAATAAGTCAAATACATGCTCTCGCAAAAACTAGAAATCATTCCTTTGATCATTATATCTTGTATCATCAACATAGTTACATGAATTCGGCGCTTTTGCAAAGAAGGATCCTCGTGTTAGGTAAACATGCTGGTTCTAAAAATGATGAGCGCCTCGTTTGAAAACAGCTGTGCGCCAGAAACAAGGTCTTTAATCGCCTCGAGGCTCTCCACAGAAAACCGTCACTTTCGATTGTATTTAACACCAGTAGAGGCGACTTGACTTACATATAGAGAGAGGTGGTTTAAATGAGTCACTGCAACAGGGATAAATTTAATTATTTTTGAATTTGCGAACCTTTGGCTCGATGCGCTAAACTAGGGTCAAGTCTACCCCTGGGTACACCGATGGAGATTGATTTTACTAGTGCATATTTACACTACCCACTCCCACAGTGCAGCAAAATTGTCACTCCAATAATTTTCTCGATCAGTTACGAGCTTTTCCGCCTCCCTTCGGCCAAGGTCCCTCAGGACTACCAATTACTCAGGACTTTTTGTTTGGAAAGTTGACACGGAACAATGGGCCATTTCTTCTAGCAGAACCGAACATGACACTAAGAGAAAAAATCCAATTTGATTATTTGTAACCAACGGCCGAATTGATACGGTGCTATTGTTTGCCACAGGAAAAACTACACTAAAATTTTGAAGAAAAGAAGAAAGGAGATTTGAATGGAGCATTTTGATGAAAGGAAAAATAACCCAACGTCCGTCATCGCAGACGGACGCAAACAGTTCCTTTACAATCTCACTAAACAACCCTAGGGCGTATGTCTCACAATGAAAACTTTATTAATAGATTGGTTGGAGTGACATAGTCCTCAAAATTTCAATAATAATCACTTCTAGTGCA